ATATATTTTATATGTTTATTAATCCTTAATCCATGTTTATCGTTGGCAATATTATTTAAAGAAAAGTTCATGATTGGATTGAATTGATTGATGAAGACAATGGAGAGAAAAATTGCTCTACGTATTAGTTGAATGAAATAAACTCTATTCCCGACTTTCCCGATTCGAGATTCTTTTTTAAATATATTTTTAGAATTTCACGGATCCATATATGTTTGATCTGTGTCGAAACTGGTAAAATTTGCAATTATAGACGTTATAGAGCCACTGCAGATACATATATTATAGTTGTAGCACTAATGCTTGCTTGACCGGGGAATAACCTCGCTCTTGCAGAATACCATTTTGAAATATGTAGCAGCTTTGGTGAGTGCAGAGAACAACGGAGCCTTCTATCCACGATACAGGACAAAATGCTACTGTGTGAGTGATCGTTTATTGTTAATAAGACAAAATATTTTCAACTAGTTTCATTAATTCGAAATGGTTAGGTTTTATAATTCAAATTTGTTTAGGTGTGAATACAGGTACAGGAGACAAAATAAATCTTTAAAAATGAATGTCGCCGCATTCAACCCTTAGGAATACAAATATTTTACTACAATTAGATTTACTACATTTCTACAATTAAACTATTTCATTATATTATTTATATTATAATTATATTAGAATGCTCAACAATGATAGAATTAAATGATATATTAATTAGTATACGATTTATTTAAAATACAATTATAGAATCGTCAATCAACATCAAAAATAGGCACAAATTCTAAATGTGCATTTATGGTCGTTTTTTTCTTCATAATAACAAATTCTAAAACACGACGATTAACGAGAAATATACCCAAATTATTTAAAGTGAGGTATCTTAATTATTTTAAATTACTTTTGATTCTATTTCAAATATCGTTTCTCCTTGCTTGTAGCTTGGGGGCTGGGCAGACAAGTTTAGGCACGAATACACTAGGCGGGGTATACACATTAATTATGCCGTGGAAACACCAGACGCAGTCCGCCCTAAACAGTCTTAGTTTTAGAACAATCAATATCGTCTGTGATCTTGAACCTCCTTAATAGTAGCCACAGTGATAATGTTGGAACTTTATTTACCTGTAATGCGTTTTTGACAACTTCATTAATTTTTAACTTGATATATTAAATTCTTTGAACAACTTTTATCTGAAATTGATATTAAAACTTGATTTGAGGACTCGATATCGCAGTGACTTTTGTTTATGAACCTGCAGGTTAAGGGGAGGCTGCCTTGTTGGTCTAGTGATCCTGGATTAGAATCCTGGATTCGCCAAAATCTTTTAATTTTCTGTCAAGAAATTCTGAGTAGCAGCTCGGAGTCAAGAAGTTTTCAGTATTTCATCCCCGTGCCTCGGAAAGCACTTAAAACCGTTGGTCCAGCACCTGATCTTTCTCCGGGTATGTCGGAATACCGTCCCATCGGCTAAGGAGAGTGAAAGAATGGAGTATATGTGCTTTCGCATACATTAGGTTACTATAATCCCGTCCTGCGTAGATGACTAATCTCCGTTGAGACTGGCCGCCGCGAAACAAAATCATCTGTCTGGAGTGCATCATTATTTCACAGCAATGGACTTAAGCTTTGCCGCGTTATAAATCCAAAACTAGGAGGACGATGGAGACAAAAACACAAATTTGTATAACTAATATATTAAGAAAAAATAAATAAACAAGCTTTGAAATTAATTGGAAGTAATTAGGAACACTTCAAAAAATCTACTTAAGAAAATTAATTACACTACTCCAATAGACTTATTATACTGCTGCGTAACTACTCCGTAATAAATTCGACTAAAATATTTACTATAATGTTAAGTGACTAAATGGCGTCGATAAAGCAGCGCTTTTTTGACCCTTTATTATTTAAATGATCGGTGAAGAGCTATCGTATCACAAAGTCATCTATGCAAACAAGGCTGCGTGTTTGAGTTATAAGAAAGTGACCATATTAATCGTATGACCATATTACCCTCACGTACGTGTTAGTTTATTTGTAATTTATGTATGTATAATGTTCCACAACACGTGAAACAGTGTGGGTAGTTAACATATTAGAAATCAATCATATTCAATAAATTAAGGTGGCTTAAATAAACCCATAACTCAATTTTGTACCATCAAAGGTGAATATGGGATAAGCAGAAAGATCTAATTGCTTCCGTCATTTATTGTATAACTATTTTGTTAACATCAGACGTTAATGCCCAGACCAGCGAAGGGCGGCAACATCAAAGGTACGGAACGTCTAGATCTGCGATCGCAAATATGTTTACCAATTGCGGAGATTAAGCAAAATCCTCCCTACATTAGAGTTCAATACCCACTAATGGATTTTTGTCGCTGGCGTAAAAGAAAGAGAAAATCTAATAAAATATTTAGGGTTGATCACCAAACATGTAATGATTTCTTATATTTACGCCAACATTACACATTTAAATAATACTAGTTTTTACGGATTTTTTCGCGTATATTTACCTTTTTAAATACCCGACATTTCGAGTACTTTACAGCACCTATGGTCACGGGGGAGACTCCCGTGACCATGGGTATTTGAAAAGTTAAATATACGTGATAAAATCCGTAAAAATAGTATTATTCAAACACCAAATATGTGCTAGAAAGCTGCATCTGTATTACTAATAATCAAACGCTGCTCATTTTAAAGATGCTGTTAAATTCTGTGGTGCCACAGTCACTTTGACCTAAAGTGATACCTTGCGACAGCAGAAGACGATCAAATGCAAAAGCAAAAATATTTTAAGTAAAGATCTATATTTTTGTAGAACATTAAAAGTTTAAAGTTGCCTTATACTGTATGATTTTTTTTAACGTCTGGAAAAATATAGGATGTAACATGTGAACGGAATAGAAGCCAATGGCACTGATATTTTAGAAAAAAATAAGAAGAAAAGTTTTGTATTAAATAAATAAATTAATTAAAAGCTGTCGAAATTCAAATCATGTCCACCCTACTTTACGAACGGCAATAAAACAATAAATTTAGTTGGCATCTTTGCCCTTGTCACTTCGCAGTGTCACAGGCACATGTGTCAGGGGCAAAGTAATTGTTAAAAAAGTTTTTAAAGTTGTTTAAATTGTTAAAATTCAAAATTATTGCTTTTATTTTTTGTAAAATATCAGTGACATTGGCTTCTACATCTTTCACATGCTACACACTATTTTTTCCAGACGGTAAAAAAGGTCATCTTACAAATCATACTAATCATTTAACCGAAATTAGACTAAAACAAATATGAAGCTATTCTCTTAATTAAAATAATCTGAGACGCCGTTAAACTAAACAAATTTTTCTTTTAATTAATCCTTTGTATAATTTACAATTATTAACCCATCATCGGTAAGACTAGTCGTTTACCCCTTTATGAGTAATTAGGCTGCCTCCTCGGTGTTACATCATAGTGTCGCTAGATGGTGTTGACATTAATTGATTGCCGTAGGAAATTGCGCGGAAGCGACAGGTTTCCTAAATTGTCCTGTCACTTTAGATGCTCATGGCTTCGTAAATAAAAGTAGCAGACTAGAAAAACGAAGGTTCAATTTTTAATGGTATTGCTAAATGCACTATGAAAGTATCTTTAAGTGAGAAATTTGTTTTTAAGTTATAAGAACGGTACTTACTTCTTTGTAAATTAAAAACAACTTTCAAGTGCAACGTTTCATTAACATTGGTGTATGAATTTTAGTCATTGTCATACTTAAATAAAATTAGAAAAAAAAACATATTTCCTTTCTGAAATATACACAAATATTATTTACACAAATATTGAACTGGATATTCGCCTTTTTCTTGGTTAAATTTAAAAGGCGATGAGAATATAACATATTATAATAGTATATTTTCATAAATGATAAAAACAACAAAAAAAGACTCATCTGCAAAACACAAACCTAACAATAGTAAAAATATGTAATTACACTAAGTAAAAATATTTATTTCTCTATCTTGTATGACAATCCATGTAAGTTTACACTCCCTTAACAAACGGTATTATTTTGCAAAGGTAGGTACAGTATTTTTCATCTAAATGTTTGTTGTACCATGATGCTGCAAAAAACGATCTGGCGTTGATCCTTTGATTTGGAAAAAATAAGATGGATTTCAATGTAACAAAATCTTCTTGGAAGGACGAACCTTGGCTTAGATTACTATACCGTTAAGTATCGTGCTGTCGCTATTACTTTTGGTCAAAGTGACTGTGACATCACAAAACTTAACAACATCTAAAAATTGAGTATCGTTTCAGTGTTTGGCCATTAGACGATCAAAGTCAAAAGCAAAAATATTTTATTCAATTTGTGCATATTTTATGTTCTAAGTTGAGCGACAAAATCTACCACAAGTTTAAAAAGTGGGACCCCGAAAGAAAAGAGCTGATAAGAAACACTGGGACGGCTGATTTTTTTGTAAAAAGTGACTAGTAGCTTAGACCACCAATAAGACAGCCAAATATCAGATGAGTACTATTCAGGATCACCGTAATATTTTCACATTAGGTATGAGTCTAAGGCCAATTTACTAAGTGGGAGGATTTATCTTGCGTCTAGGATTCACCTGGGTTGGTATCGTCACCCTCTTACCTTATTTTAGCCGTCAAGTGGATGTGCATTTAACGTTGTTTTATGGTTAAAAGGGTAAGGGATTCAGTACACATACATTTACAGGTTATGTGGCACTTCATGTTAGTCCTCAAATGACGACATCATAATTGTTTAAGGATTGTCGAAAAACCAGTTTAATGTTTATAATTTAAAAAAAAGGTAGATGTTTTTAAGTCTAAACGAGGGAAAATTTAATTAAGCTATCTCAAGTATAAAAATACTCTATTAAAACGCGGAAACTGTATTAAAAAAATAATAAACGATGTTTAAGTCCCAAAATAAGTAAATTACAGTTGTTAACATAGTTACCCATTCACAAAGCCTATGAATGAGGCAGAACAACCATGAGTTCTAAAGCTTTTAGTTATTTTGCAAGCGACGCTAACTTCGTCAACCCTTACACCAACGACGATCGAGTTGATCTCAGCCAAGTATGGGTCGATATACCGAGTATACTTGTAGCCTTGGGAGGCGATGTAGATGTCAACGTACGAGGAGCTCTCGGTGCTGGCAGCTTAAAAGTACGCCTCGCCCGAGAAGACGACGATGGTAGAGCGTTATTAGCAACCATGCCCTTAGCTTTAGATGCAGAAAGCCGAATGACTCTTCTATGTGGATACTTCTCAAGAGGTCGCATTTACTATTTAGAAATAATCGCCGACAAAGAAAATTTCTTATCCGAAGATCATGACACAAACAATACTGATATATATATATACAATATGTAACGTAATTAATGCACACCCTCAGACATCCCAATTAGTATATTATGTTATAATCATAATACATACACTGATTTTAGTTAAACATTTTTATGCACTGATTATTTATAAAATTAGTTATACTAATTCCGGAAGAATGTTGTGGTCACACTACAAATCCACGAATGCAAAGACTTTAACGTGCTTGAAATAAAGTTCATTTTTATTTATTTTTATTGAATGACAGAATTAGTAATAATACAAATAAAACTGCACTCTTAAAAGTCTTATTGCCTTAAGTTACGGTCCATTTCAGTTTGTTTTGACTGTACAGATTTAGTGTGACTGTAATTTACGTAGTTTTAATTATTTTTGGGATAAAAAATTACCTATATTAAAAATGATAAGAATCGATTCAGTAAACGATGCTAAACAAACTACTTTCTCAAAGTGCGTTAATTATGTTACATGTTGTATATGTATATAATGAAGTAGAATCCAATAAAGTAAAAAGAGAAATTGATGGAAGGATGATGGAGACAGGCGATCGTTTGATCAAATCTTGGAAATTTGACATTCTTTGGCCAACTGCAAATTTGGAAGTGACGCCTGAACAAATTCAAACGTATCCAGAAAGGCAAGTGATGGCAATATTAGAATTCCCGAAGGTGGTGTGCACTCCTCTAGAGTCGAGTGCCGAACGAAGGGCGTATTTTAAGATTATATGTAAAAAATTATTTAATAAGCAGTCCTAATTAAAAAATGGAATTTGGAAATATAACGTACAGAAAACCAAAACGCTCTAGTTCGTTACAAGATATGTCAGATCTCAATTCCTCTTCTACACTGTTTGACGCAACCGTGGCAAGCTTACCGAATGCATCTCTATATGAAAGTCAAAATAATATTGATTTAAATGAAAAAATAAATAAACTGTCGAGTGACTTATTAATTGCTCATCAAGAAATAGATAATCTCAATAGTGAAAATACTAGTTTAAAGTTAGAAATTGAAAAATACCAAAGAATAATTAAAACATTTAAAAAAATTACTACATATTCCTCATGTAATACGACACCTGCATCAGTGAACAAGAGACGACAAACTTTGCAGATACCAGAACAAAATCTACTGTGTACACCTATAAACAGAATAGAAATGTCAGAGTGCAGTATTAACGAAATCAAAGACAAAGAACAAGAATTAGTCAATAACATAGAAAAAACAGATAGCTCAAATCATCTGCCTAACACATCATGTCACATTCATCTAGAGAAAGAAGATATTCACAAAGAACACACGGAAGTAATTGCAACAGACACAAATACTAATACATCTCTTAATACTCCAAAAACTCAACTAGGAAACACTTTGCCATATTATATAAGAGAAAAAAATGACAATTACAAATTAGCTACATTTAAGATGCGAAGGAAAATAATTGTTATTGCTGACCAACAAGGGCGAAATATTTGCAAAACTCTTCAAAAATTAATTGGCGATAATTTTCTTGTAACTTGTTATTGGAAACCAGGAGCTAAAATACAGGAAGTCTTACAAACAGAAAAGAACGAAATATGTAAACTTACAAAAAAATGATTATGTTGTTGTTCTTGGCGGCGTGAATGTGAATAATCCATATGAATTTGAATTTTGTATCAGGAGCTGGCTTTATAGTGTAACAAATACTAATGTAATATTTACAGAAATACCATATAATAGAAATTTAAACATCGGCAAACTTAACTATGTATTAAAATTTATATGTACAAGCTTTACTAATGTTTCGTTTATAAGTACAAATGGTTCGAAGCCTTTCTTTCATCAATATACTTTTACTTCATATATACCATGTCGTTTTCTGCTACGTGAAATTCTACGCCTCGACTACAAATTAAAATTTGAGCTTTACCAAAATATAGTAATTTCCTCAAAATTTACTCCACTTCAGACTACTAGTACACAAACTGACAATATTGAAATGGTAGACACATGTACACAAAGTGACGATATATTGAAAGACAATATCATAGAGGAAATCACTCCCAGGCATGAAAATATGACACATTCTGGTAAAAATCTTTTTCGTATATAAAAAACTATATATATTACATCAAAATATTAATGGATTAATTGCTAAATCTGATCTCCTAACTGTTAATTTAAATAACCTCGAATTAGATGGGTACTCGGCTGATGTTCTATGCATAACTGAACATAATATGACTTACAATGATACGAATTTATTCAAATTAGATAATTATACTCTTGCATCGTACCATTTTCGAGAAAATCGTCATGGAGGCTCCTGCATACTAGTTAAGAAATGTCATAAATATAAACCTCTTCCTGAAATAGCACAACTTAGTAAAACGAACATAATTGAATGTTGTGCAGTTGAACTTATAGAGCATAAACTTAAAATAATATGTACCTATAGACCTCCAAAAAATAGAAATGAAGATTTGAATAATTTTTTGTATAATTTCGACTTAATATTAAAAAAATACTGTAATAATAATAAAAATAAAATTATAATTTGTGGAGATTTTAATATAAATATAATAGATGTAACCAAAATTTCTAAAAATTTTATACAACTATTAACAAGCTACAATCTAAAAACAGCTATAAAAGTACCTACACGACTAATTAGTGATACATGTATCGACAATATTTTTCACAATATTCAAGGGTGTAAGAGCAATACTTATGACTTAGCTTTGTCAGACCATACGGTACAACTGTTAATATGCCCAGTCAAGCAAAGCTACTATCTTAATTACTGGCATATAAGCAGACGCGATTACAATGTAGAAAATCTTCACAAATTTAACAATTACTTGAGCTCTCTCACTTTCAACGAGGTTTATAATGAAAAAAATCCTAATCTTGCTTTTGACCAATTTCATGACTTGTTTACCCTCCTCTATCGCCTATGCTTTCCTGACATTAAAATTAAAGTCTATTCACGTAAACAAACAAAATGGTTATCCAATGGGATAAAAAAATGTACTAAGCGTAAACGACAGTTATTATGGCAATACAGAAAAAAACGCAGCGTAGAAAGTAAAACTATATTAAAAGAGTATTCCCAACGTCTAAACAAAATTATCAAACTTACCCAAAAGTCCCAAAATAATTACTATATTAACACAGCACAAAATAAATCTAAAGCTACCTGGCAAGTGATAAATAAATACAAAAATGGTACAAATGAAGAAGCAATTAGTAAAATTATTGTTGATGGTGATATAATTGAGGATCCTCTAGTTATAGCTAGAGCATTTAATAATTTCTATACCAACAAAATTAATAAAGACCGCCCAAATAGTGATAAACCATATAAGTTAACTTTTAACAATCCCAATTCAATTTTTATACCACCCACAACATCATTTGATATAGATAAAGCTATAAAATCTCTTAAAAACACAAACAGTACCGGTTGTGATGAAATTTGTACAAGAGTTCTAAAATACGTATCCGGTGCAATTGCTCCGGTACTTAGTTATATTTTCAATTTATGTATTTGTAATGGTATATTTCCTGAAAGACTAAAGTCTACAATTGTCAAACCACTGTTCAAAAAAAATGATCGGGAGAATATGTCTAACTATAGGCCCATTGCGCTTATACCTGTGCTCTCAAAAGTATTTGAGAAAATAATTTATAACTCTTTATATAACTACCTTGAAACGTACAATATTCTTAGAGAAGAACAAATAGGATTTAGAAAAAATAAGACTATAAATATGGCTCTATACAATTTTTTTAATACCGTTATGTCTAGCCTAAACAATAAAATACCTGTATGTGCACTTTACATGGATCTTACTAAAGCATTTGATTATGTTGATCATAAAATGTTACTCAAAAAGCTTGAAGCCTACGGCATTCGAGGTAATGCACTAGATCTACTAACATCATATTTAGTTAACAGAAAACAAAGTACACACATTACAAAAATTTGTCTAAAATCAAGAAAAGAAATGACCTATGTTTCTGAATACAGAGTCGTACAAACTGGAGTACTGCAAGGAAGTGTTTTAGGACCATTGTTGTTTCTTATTTATATCAACGACCTTCCCAACGTCATTAATCACAAAATAGTATTATTTGCTGACGATAGCACAGTTATTTTCACTAGCAGAAACAAAATAGATTTAGAAAGTAACATACACTTTGCTTTAGAGAAAATAATGAATTGGCTAAACATAAATAATTTAAATATAAATTTAGAAAAAACAAAACTTATGACATTCTATCAAAAACGTAATAAAATAAATAATTTAAATATCAATTATCTAGGACAAAAAATCAATACCATAGATAATATAAAATTTTTGGGTATAAATGTAGATTGCAATTTGAACTGGCAGTCTCATGTGAGCAGTGTGTGTATGAAATTAAATCGTTTTTCGTATGCGTTATATATGCTTGGAAAAGTTGTGGACACATCCGCCGTAATGGCATCATATCATGCTTATGTTATGTCTACACTTAGATATGGTATTATGTTCTGGGGTAATTGTACGGACAAAGAAACAGTATTTAAAGCTCAAAAGAGATGCTTACGAGCCATTTGTAAAATTAACCAAAGTGAGAGTTGTAAGCCATACTTCATTAATTTAAAATTATTAACAATGCCATGTCTATACATATATGAGGTAGTCTTATTTGTACGTCAAAACTTAAGTTTTTACAAAAAACTAAATGTCCAGCGTCATAAAGATAAATTGAGCCATCCCAATAGTAAGACTGTTTTGTTTCAAAAAAGCGTATTCTGTATGGGTCCTCGACTGTATAACCATTTACCTAAATATATAAGAGATTCTAAGAGCTTTCACATTTTTAAGGAACAACTAAACACATTTTTAACCATAAAAGCGTATTATAATATTGACGATTATCTATATGACAATTTTTAAATTTTAATTGAACGAAACGTTATCTATGTTATTAATTTTGAGATTTTTATATTTTTAGAGAATTTATACCTACTCGTTTTGACATTATTACTTGGACATTACAATTTTGATTATTACATGTATTTTATCATTATTTTGTGAATTATTATTATGTTAGTAGCGCAAATATACAAATAGGGTTATATTATGTTAATGTAATTATCGGCATTTTCCATTTAATTTTAATTATAAATAAAATCTAATATTTAAGTAGTTTGCATACCGAAAGGTAGAATATGGCTGTATTTTGTTAAATTATTAAGACCTATTGTAACCCATATATCGCAAATGAATAAAATGAATTTGAATTTGAATTTGAATTTGATTTCTGATTGGAGTTGCTGTACTGCGGACATTCAGACGGAGGTGCTCTCTTATACGATGGCAATAATACTAGCTCCCACGCCCATGTACTATATTCTGAACAGGTAATGGTTGTATATCTAAAAATTTAAATTTCTTTATTTTTTATTTTTTTACGTCTTCAAGTATTTAGGAAAACATGGCCAGTTAAAAATTATACTCTCATTATCTGTCCTTGCCTCGTATCTTACCTCGTAACTTTAATAACATAATTTTTGGCTTCAGCGCACGCTGTTTGATGATTTTCACGACTAACAGTTCCATTCGATAATGGGAGAAAATTAACTTACATGTCTTTATGTATTTAGATGCACGGTTTCCCTGGTCGTCGTACCATGACGCTTCGCTGCGAACTTTTTTATCTGATCACATAATTTCTCTACAGCATTAAATTTATTCCCATGTTTCTTCCGACATACCCAACTCTCATTACCATACATTAAGGTAGGAACTACGGCATTGTGAATTGCCTTACATACTTGCCTTTTTTTAAGAAAATTACTACAGCCACGATATAGGAGAAAATCCTATGTGTGGAACTTACGATTTTATCCTATATCGTGGCAGATTACAAACAATTATTTCGCAAAGAAAGACATTCAGGCCCGGAACAATTATTTATAGGTCAAAAAAGTAATTGATCCGCGCGAGATTCGAACCCGCAGCCCTCAGCGCAATAACTCAATGCTAACGCACAGTGCCACAAAGCCGTCAAATAATTGCCTTTTCGACATATTCTGGCTTCGCATAATCGTAGATTGCATAACCTTATTAATTATCGTTCTGTATCCTAGCCGTGTCTACTATCCCTGCTAAACACCCAAGCTAAATACAACATCAAGATTCTCATTGATAGGTAATACATATGTCTAATTTACTCTAATAAAAATGTTCAATAATATTTGTACATTCCTTATGATATTTTTAAATCAATTAAGTGTTAAATAAATTGTAGTAACTGTACAAAGTGATCAAATTAATATTACTATACATTAAACAAACATAGGCAAACAACAGTGACAAAAATAAATAAAACACATACGCAGTAACGGTGTAAGATTAATCATTCAGAATTTATGTATGTGCTTTCAATCCACTGCTAAACATAGGTATCCTTATAGATTACCTTATAGAGGGGATTTTGCCATAGTTTCCACGCTTGAAGGCCGGTTGGCAACCACAGTTTGGTTATCAATTTATATTGTTAGGTATCAGAAAGATGATGCTACCAATCTTCTGGTTTCGTTTTCTCTGAAGCCTCTTAAAAACCCATGGGACGATATGGGTCAGTGGATATTTTTACACCGCTACTCTAACAGCAGTGCTGTAAATCAGAAACAGAGGAAACCATAACGTATTTCAATCTCAAAGAAATTAAACGCTGAAAAGTACAACGTACAAACTCCAGCTTAACTCGACTGAGTTGAAAATATTAAGTGCACTGAGCAACAGTTTTCCGAGGGCTCTTGTTCCCATCTCGTTGCATGATACGCTTTTGGAATTGAAATTTTTCGAGCGCAGTTGAGAACTGTTTTAAAAAGTTTGTTGTAGACGAGGCATCTATTTTTGCGACACTTAGCTACGGAAACTAAAATGTTTGTTTTATGTTCTGGATTTAAATTATGGGGCCAGCTCGTGGTGTATGCAAATTAGCACATTAAGTCTTTTCTAATTATGCTTTCATTTATGTTCTTATTTTTATTTGTTATTTTTTAGTTATTTTTTCTTCCTAAAATACAGTCCACGTGATAGTTAGTGACTAGTGGGAGAAAATGGAAAGAAGGACAAATTCCTAGCCAAAAAAGAGTTCTATCTCTTAGAATATAAAGAGTATTTTTTAATTAACTCATAAGATATTTAGAATACTATGTCACATTGTTGAGCACAGGGTAGGAAAGGAAGTGTCCAGCGCGCTGTCGTGTAATCCATAAGTCTTGCCACACGTCTTGCCAATCAAAATTCGAAGACGTGAAATCCGCCTCTGTTGGCAAACTTTACACTTATTTTTTTATATTTTCGATTAAATATATTTTATTTTTATAATTGGGCACTGACAAACAACCAGAGTTGGCTCAATTAAAATACCTTTTAGCTTTACGTGGTATGACAATGCTGCAGCTATATTGTGGTAGTAGCACGAATAGGTAGGCTCCATCGGGTAAGGAACATGCTTTCATAGAATAGTAGCCTAAACTAGCAGTTTAATACTGCTTTTTTGTATGGTGATTATACAGAACTGGAGACCCTTTTTACTCGAAACGAGGCGTTCCTAAGATGGAATCCTCATGGGTGACAACGCATCTGCATTTTGATTCTTAATCGATGATAGATGTAGAAGTGCCACACATTGCTACAGGCCACAGCATCCACGTACCATCACGTGGACTGTGTACTCGTTTGTTACCAATACTTTTTTTAAAAGCCGCGGAATCCAACACAGAATTTCGGTTTCAAGCCGACATATCTACCTGCCAAGTAGACTGAGAATGTAACAATATACAAGTATTATTTATATTATTTTCTTTATTGATCATATAATGGGGACAGTGGACGCATTTGCAAGTTTTGTTGGAATTAAGTCTACAATGAGGGTTCTTGAAGACGCCACTAAAGGTTTTGACCTAGCTTAGTGACATGCATCACTTAATGCTTTACTAGAACATCTGCTCGACATGGTTTTCGAGGAAATACAAATTAATTATTTTACACGCAAACAAAATTTAAAAACATGTTTGTTCTTCTATTTTAACTACACAGTTACTACATTAGGAAGCAAAACTTTGGGCCATTTAACCACATTTAGAGAAGAGTATTTAAGGTTGATAGGTCACCTTAGAAGCAAATCGACGTATAATTAGTGCTTCAAATCTGGAATCTTGTTTTAGTTTAAAAGAAACCATACTTTTTATATAAAACTCACATGCATAACCCAAATAAATTAAGTAGAAATATAGTCTAATTCAGGATTAATAAGTGTGAGTTAGCAAGCTTTGAAATTTATTATTAGTAAGCAGAAGAGGGCATATATTTTACTACGTGGTAGAGAACTATAGCTAGAAACAGTTTCTGTACGTTAAAAGGTTCCTATCCGTGTTATAGACACTATAGTTAAACTATCGAAAAGTTTATATATAATTTATGGGACAGCGAAAGGGTTGAAATTGTTATGGGAGAGCAGAGTCCTCTAATACATGCATAGATATACTTAAAACAGCACCCTAACCTATATTATAAATTTGATTTTAAGATACAGAAAAAATAAATTGGAATTTACTTTTTTGAATAACTTTTAATATTTTATTTTTTAAAACAATGTTATTTTACCAAGAGCCAATAATCGCAGAAATAAACGACAGTAGCCTAATGGCAGGGCGCAGACTGCGAACTCAAAAAAGGTCGTGGGTTCGCATCCACCATTCGACTACTGGCGTGAACCACTCGTAACACAAGCAAAAGCTTACCACGAGTGGTTAAGAGGAATATTAGTAATGCTTATAGCATTGTTAATGTTATTAAAAAAAAAACAATATTCTCATATTATTTATTAATAATGTGTAATAAGAGAAGAGTGTGGTTTGCAAGATGATGTTGTGACCAGGATTAAGAAAGGAATGCTTCGATGGTTTGGTTACGTGGAAAGAATGAATGAGGAAAGAGTGACAAAGAAAATTTATGTTGCAGAAGTGAATGGCAGAGTCGGAAAGGGACGTCCTAGGCGAAAATTTATCGTTCAAATTGGCGATTCATTGAAAACGGGCCAAATTAGGAGTACCCTTAACCGAAGAGCATGTACGCGTAGGTGTATGGATGTGAAGGAGGCGAGAGAGGTGTGTCAGGATCGTGCCAAATGGAAGTCTGTAGTCTCTGCCTACCCCTCTGGGTGACAGGCGTGAGTGTTTATGTTATGTTATGTTTATGTTATTTATTGTATATGTATATGTATGATTTGTATATGTATGACGCAATCTTTGGATTAATACCACAGAACCCTATGTATACATTCACACAGATACAAATCATTAACTGCTATGAGACCTATTAACATGTATTCATGGATATTTGCCCTCTGTCAGCCACTATTAGTTTTGGCGCCCCGAAAAGAGAAATGAGGTTGGTGAAATGTCTCTTCAGTTCGCTAACGTCTTGACGATACATAGGGTAAAGGAGACAGAATTTGGAGAATGCATCGATAACTATCAAGACATAACGATACCCATCTGCTTAAGGCAAGTGACCCAGGGAATCCATGTGAATAGTCTCAAAAGGGAGGTTTGGTTTTTCCCAAGAGTTGATAGGCTGGGATGTGGCCTTCGCTATTTTCTTATGAGCGATGCACACTAGGCAATGTGAAATATACTTTTGTGAAAAATATCGCAGCCCAGGGAACCAAAAGTGTTTGGTTATTAAATTGACCGTTTTATCAACCCCCAAATGATTATGTTCATCGTGAAAGATACAAAGAAGGCTGAGTCGATGTCCTTTGGGAATGTAACAGAGGAAACGGGAAGGTTCTCCAGTAGAGAATATTTCACATAGAGGACATCATTCTTGATCACATACCATGTGGCATCTAATTGCCCATCGTTAAGTTTTTGTATAAGACACCGAGTTTCCTCGTCGGCAGCCTGAGCAATCTGTGCCCAATTCCGAGGTTTCTGAACTGTACACACACTGACAGGGTTCCGACTCAGATAATCGGCGTGGGACATAAGAGTGCCTCTACGGTAATCTAAGGCGAAATCGAAGTCCTGTAGGTAGACCCACCAACGAGCCACCCTTGGAAGCAGGTCTCTCTTGCGTTGTGTGAGCCTTAACGCATTACAATCCGTAACTACAGTAAAACGCACACCCACAAGATAAAGTCGAAAATGCTGCAATGCTTTTTACAACTGCAAGGGTTTCAAGCTCGTACGAGTGATACCTATTCTCGGCCCCTTGTGTGAGCTTACTGAAATAAGCAACCACTCGCCTGTGGCCACCCTCGTGCATTTGCAGCAAAATAGCCCCGTATCTGACGGAACTCGCGTCCGTATGGACTTCAATCGGCAAGGACGGGTCATATACTGCGAGAACATGCTCGCCAGTTAGGCATTCAATTTGTTCATTACGCGCAGTCTGTTGTTCCTTGCCCCAGTTAAATTCAACCCCCTTTTTAGTTAGAGCTGTTATACAGGTAGACTTTTGAGCAAAATTTGGTATATATCTGCGAAAATAATTGGCTAAACCCAAGAACTGGCGAACCTGTTTCACATTTTTCGGTTCTGGGGACTCGACCAAGGCTTTGACTTTGTTAGGGCTCGGTCGTACCTGACCCTGGCTAATTTTACGTCCTAGGTACTCAATTTCTTCTGTTAGAAAAGAACACTTTTTTAAATTAACCGAAAACCCCGCTTCAGTCAGGGCTGTCAAAACTTGGTGCAAAAGGTCAAAATCCAGGTCTATTGTTCTACTCAATATCAGCACATCGTCGATATATACAAGCACATCACCAGAATCAATAAACTTTCGGAGAGTTTTCGATATGATACGCTGATACACAACCGGAGCATTGGCTAGGCCGTAAGGCATTGTTAGATATTCGAAATGCCCCTCCGGCGTGACAAATGCCGTGAGTGGAATGGACCCCTCGCTGACTGGGATCTGGTGGAAACCAATAGCCATATCAAGACTGGTGAAGTACCTGTTATGACCTAATCGATCTATGTAGTCGTCTATACGTGGAAGTGGGAATTGGTCTTTAACAGTCACTTCATTTAATTTGCGAAAATCCACGCACATTCTGTCCTTCTTTTTACTAAAAGAATAGGGCTCGCGCAATCCGATTCCAACTCACGTATGATCATCTTCGAAACAAGGTCACTAACTATTTCACGTACCCGAAGTATGTCATTGTGAGACATCCGATAAGGTCTGTAGCTAATGGGAGTGTCACTAATCAGTCTTATAGTCATACATCCCGCGTTGACAGTTGATGTCGCAGTCCCAGAAATGAAATATTCAGAAAACTTGTTTATTATATCAAGTAAACGCTGTAGCTGGTCACCAGTTAACGGCGTGTTGACTGAGATTGACTTATCAGACTGAATAGCCATCACTCTCTCGTAATTAGTCGCTTTCCTAGTTAACAATTGAGAATCTCGTGTGCGAACATATTGCACACCTTCCCTATTGAGTACGTCAGTTCCCACAATAATAGGCGTATTCATGAACTTAGACTCCACCACGAACAAATCTACTTCGAGCGTTAAGCCGTCAAACTCTATTGGCAATGTTACGTAGGAGGTAGTCTCAAGTTCCTGACTTCCCAATCGGGGTGACAACGCATCTGCATTTTGATTGAGGATAGATGTAGATGTCTATGGGCCACAGCAACCACTTACCATCAGGTGGACTGTGTGCTCGTTTGTCACCCTATCCTATAAAAAAATCCGCGTAAAATGCGAAAACTAGGCTTATGTGCACAATCAAAATGTTTCAATAATGCTGACGATATAAGAGATATGGTCGACCCACTATCGATCAAAACGTCCACCGAAACACCCTGAATTACGGCTACAAGAACGTCGCTTTTCGGGGTATCCTTATTTTCAACGCAAAAAATGACATTGTTTTTGTTTCGTGCCTCAGATTTTTGCTTTGCAAAACATTGATCCATTTTGTGACCAGGCTTTTTGCAATATGAACAAAGTTCCGATTTAAATGACGTAGTAGGCTAGGGGTCTCATTTGAATCTGTTTTTATTTTCTTGCAAAAAATCCTGTTTATGTCCACGAAGCCCACACGAAAAACACTTGCCCTCTTCCAACTTTCGTTTTCTATTTTGTGTACTCGGACTTGAATTATTCCTATTATTATTTGAATAATTACTTTTTCCTGAATTATTATGCAAAGTGGATTGAGGACGAGTCCTAGAAGTGGAAGGTTTCACATAAATCTAAAGAAAACCGACTAAATCCTGAGGCAATAATTTAGCATTAGTGGCTGATGCTTTAATGTGGGGATCGGTGATACCGCGTATCACAATTGGCGAAATAAGTTTGTCACTGAGTCCACGAACAACAGTTAGCCGAAGCAGTGAGCGTCGAGCGTAGTCAGCGTACGTGGAATAAAAATATGCTGCTTGAGGTAAAATAACCTGTATGTCAATGCCCTCATAGAGGAGCTCAGTAGCACACATGTCGGTTGTCACATTGACGGAGTATGTCTTAGCAACATCAGTTACGCTGACGACATGGTGTTGCTGAGTGCTTCTGTTTGTGGCTTAGCGAAACTGTTGAGCATATGTGAAAACTATGCTCACAGTCACGGCTTAATTTATAATGTGAAAAAAAAGCGAATGTATGGTCTTTCGGGCCAAGGGAAAAGCATTACCATCAATTGTACCACCCATTAAATTATATGGTACGCCGTTAAAAAGGGTGTCGCAATTTAAATATCTAGGTCATGTGGTAACCTTTGACTTGAAAGACGATGCTGATATCGAGAGAGAGAGCGCAGAGCATTGTCGGTTAGGGCGAACATGATAGCTCGCAGGTTTGTTCGTTGTTCCACCCCGGTTAAAGTAACGCTATTTAGAGCTTACTGTTCTTCATTTTACACAAGCAGCCTGTGGATCGATTTTACGCAGAATCAGTACAATGCTCTGCGCGTTCAGTACAATAATGCTTTTAGGATGCTGATGGGACTGCCTCGATTCTGCAGTGCGTCGGGTATGTTCGCTGATGCGAATGTTGATTGTTTTCACTCGATCATGCGCAAGCGGTGCACATCCCTGGTACGCAGGGTTAGGGATGGTCCCAGTGGCGTCCTGAGGGCATTTGCTGACAGGCTGGATTGTCAGTACCTGAACCACTGCCGTATGGTGCACGTGCTGACAAATCAGGGCTGTCTTAGATATAAGATATAGATTAAGGTAGTCTTAAGTTTACTAACATTAGACTAGTGTTTTTCTTATATATGTTACTAACAAATATGATCTTTAAGGTCGAAATAAATGATTTTTATTTATTTTTATTTTTATTTTAAAATAGAAAATATATTTAAAATTGCTAAAACCTATTATTAGCAGTTTTTAAATTTTAAATCGAATCAGTTCGATCACAGCGCGTTCGTGTACTCATCAATGATGAGATGAATTCTGATTCGATGAAAATGATGAAATGATTCGATTTAAAATTTAAAAACTGCTAATACCTAATGAGGTATTAGCAGTTTTTAAATATATTTTCTATTTTACCTGAAGCATCAGTACTCATCATTATGAGTACACGAACGCGCTGTGTGGCGGTGCTATGTGAACTGATTCGATTTAAAATTTAAAAACTGCTAATACCTAATGAGGTATTAGCAGTTTTTAAACATATTTTCTATTTTACCTCAAACAGCATATTTTATTTATATCATCAGCAGCAGCATTTTAGGTGTAACGTACATCTTTATGGTCCTTCGAGCTTACCGTGAGCGGGACTTCTGTCGCGAGTGACCTAATTTGAATTGCGAAAGCGGTACGTGCCACGTAAGTCAAACAGCGGCAGCGTTGGTAAGTCTACAGCTCTCTATTTTAATCAGCAACTACAGTAATTGTTCAAAATGGAAAATCTTCTAGCTAGCCAGAACCAAATAATGGGAGCTATGGATCAGCTCCTAATCAACTTTAAAAAAGGCGGTGCCGACCGCAAGACACCGGCACTTAGCACTTTAGCAAGTTTTTGGCAGGAGTTTCAAGGTAATCATTTAAAGCTTTTTGAGTCTGACGATAAATCTCATAAATATTTTACTGGCAATTACTATAAAAGAACGTCCGATTTTTATAACGAAATGTGCAATTATATTCTTAATTATTTACCGAGTGACTCTAAAGAAAAAAGCCTTCTCAGGCCAGCTACCCCATTGCAAAAGACAGGCTTTTCAGCTATACCATCTGCCAGCGCACTCCGTCCTGAAACTACTAATGACGCAGAAGCATCCCGAACCCAAGTTACTAACAACAAGTTAGAGGATATGTTGAGAAAGCAAAGAAGCAACTTCAAAGCTTTTCAGCGAACTATTAGCAGCATCGATCTCGACAAAGTCTCTGAAAAATGGGAGTATGAGAATATTCTGAAGTCGGTTCAGGCACGCTGGACGACAATAGACGCCTTGCACTGGGAAATAGACAGCGAACTGTACGAAGAAAATGAAGAGTATGAAGAAATGTTCAGCAGATATGAGCAAAATTCAATAAAATGAAAAAAGTTATCAACAGCAAGATGCGGTCTGATCTTTACCGGGAGAAGACAACCCCAAAAATGGACATCCCCATGTTCAGTGGGAGGTACCACCAGTGGTTGTCGTTTAAGGACTTGTTCGTCGAAGCTATACATAGCAACAGAGCCTTATCAAACTGTCAGAAAATGCAATTTCTGAAAAGTAAATTGAAAGGGAAGCATAGAAAATAGTGCAACATTTACAGATAAGCACAGATAACTATCAAGTATGTTGGGATTTTTTAAACCACCGGTATAACAACACAAAGCTTATTTTTAATTCTCACATGAGTGTCTCAGTGAAACAAAGCTACTATACAACAGCAGTCAGCATCAGCAATCAAAAAGATTCATGATACCACCAATGAATGTCTAAATGCCATCAAAAATCTGGGAGTCAACATAAGAAATTACTCAGAAATCAGACGCGGACATACATAACGACTACATCGAGTCACTGAAACATCCTAAAGATTTACCGACTGTAAAAGATCTATTACAATTTTTGGAGGTTAAATTCACAGCCCTAGAGTCGTCAAAACGAAAACCAGACCTACAGAAGTCAAATCAGCAGCCGCAACAATCATCTTAGCCATCTAATTTCAAAAATTCATTAGTTTTTAAAGCATTCACAAGCAATAAAAATCCATCATTTAAATCAAATAATTTCAATAATAAAAGTAGGTTAGCGTCCGCACCGGAGCAAAAATGCCCAATCTGCAATAAAGATCACGCCATTCCGTATTGCGAAACATTTCCAACATATCGACCCGATTTTAAGCGACAAATAATATCCAAGCTATCTTTATGCCAAAACTGCCTTTATAATCATAACGGTAATGAATGTTTTTCAACGAAAAGGTGCCTTAAGTGTCAAAGCATTCATCACACACTGGTTTACGAAGCCTTTATCGTATCAGCAAACGCTGCAAATCCGAGTGCAACGACCGAACGCGCCGTGTCAAACTCACACGTGTTTCTGGAGGACACTCAGGAGATTTTATTGGCAACTGCTATAATCAACGTCCAAGCTGTCGATGGTACCCTTCACTTAATGAGAGCTCTTATCGACCAAGGGTCCCAAACTTCGATCATCACCGAAAATGGCGCTCAAAGATTAGGACTACCACGCAAGCATTGCAAACGACTGATATTAGGAGTAGGCGCGAAGGAGAACAGCTGCAAGGGTTTTATGAACATCACTTTATCTTCTTGTTATAGCGCGTATAGCATAAAATTAAATCTTGATGTCTTTATAATGAATCAGGCAGTAAATGTACCCTTCACTTAATGAGAGCCCTTATCGACCAAGGGTCCCCAAACTTCGATCATCACCGAAAATGGCGCTCAAAGATTAGGACTACCACGCAAGCATTGCAAACGAGTGATATTAGGAGTAGGCGCGAAGGAGAACAGCTGCAAGGGTTTTATGAACATCACTTTATCTTCTTGTTATAGCGCGTATAGCATAAATCTTGATGTCTTTATAATGAATCACGCAGTAAATAACATACCAAATAAATCATTCGGAAAACCATCATGGGCGTTTATTGAAAACATTCAACTAGTTGACCCTGAATTCTATCACTGGCGAAGCTAGAGCTCCAAACTAGAGCAAGCCCAAGATATAAATTGATAATAATTTATATTGTTGTTTTTAGCAGTTTTATAAAAATACACCAATCTTGATCTGTCTTCACTCTTCAGTTTCATATTCAGTGCTGTCAAGGACGTATTTAACAAGCACACAGAAGGAATACTACTGCTAGATAGATAGTATTACACATATCAGTAACTGCATAGCTTCGGTGGCTTTGAAGAAAGCCGTTTGAGTTTGTTTGAACGAAAGGAAAAGATATTTTATATACAATACAATACATGTACAAAAGTAAAACATGAACAAAGTACAAACAATATACAAAATTAAAAAAAATATTTATAATCGTCTCTCTTTCTTAAGGAAAGATTTAATTACGTCCACGTAAAATGTTGGTGAACGTCTTAATTATACCAATAACTTTTTTTTAATTGCGATAATTGACAAGTCTGAAATACACTCTTGACCTTGTGTATTATCACAACAAAGTTTAAAGATTTTACCTTTTCCTCTCCGATTAGCACTTTAACACACTTAAATTCATCACAAGGAACACTATTATCCACCATTTTCACAAAAAATCTTTAAAAAAGGCATAAACTTTCAACTCGCAATATTAAAATCGCTTACGCTAAACACACAGAGTAAATAAACATTGAAATATGAAATGAACTTGTAAACGTATTGCCCGCGCGCCTCCGCTCACGACAACTTCATTCCAAAAGCCTGGCATTAACTATCTATACTAATTGCTATATATAAAATCGTAGTTATATTTCATTATAGAATATTTTGCCATAGGTTAGAAAGAGAGCGATCGTCTTCTCGAAAGCCCCGTAAAAAGCCCACGCGAGCGAGGGAGACAACTAATCGCTCTATTAAAACTAATTTTTTATGATAGCAGCAGTATCGCTAAGGCAATACGAGGTCATCGGTCGATTTGTGTCGATCAGTGGCAGCGGGAAATTTGAAGTAGTTTGAAACAGTTTACGAGTTATTTTATTAGTTGATATATGTATTGATTGATATTATTAATCGATTCAGTTTAATAAGGCAAGCCCGGCTTTTCGGCTTCTATAGAAGCTTCTCCACTGAATTCTATCGTAGCGGAACAGTGGATTTGTTACTGGGTGCCGATATTTACTCTTCCATCATCATGGGAGGAATCATTAAAGAAAATGAAATGATTTTATGCGGAAACGTGAAATCGTACAACTGTAACGTGATTATGGTAGACATAGACAGCATACATAAATTTTGGTCGATCGAAGATATCAATGACACCGAGGAAATGTCATCCGAAGACCATCAGTGCCATCAAAAGTACCAAGAGACAACTTTTCGCCAACCCGATGGGAGATATGTAGTGCGCCTTCCACTACATCCTGACGCTGAGGAGAAGTTAGAATTATCTGAACCCAAAGCTTGCGTACAATTTTATCAGATCGAACGTAAATTTGGAAAAAATCAAAATCTAGCCAACAATTACAAGCAATTTATGAACGAATACATCAATCTACGTCACATGCACACAATAGCAGCGAATTTGACACCAATACATTACATGTCGCATCACGCAGTTGAACGACCTGACTCTTCAGCTACGTCACTAAGAGTAGTATTTAATGCATCCGGAAAAACATCATCCGGTCTATGTTTGAATGATGTCTTGTACAGAGGCCCTAATCTTCAGCAAGAACTTTTAGTTTGGTCCTTAATGAGACAGTACAAATATGCATTTACAGCAGACCTGGAAAAAATGTTCAGGCAAATAGTTATGCATCCTGAGGACCAACTTTATCAATGCATAATTTGACGCGAAAATTCAAATCAGCCACTGAGCAGATACCAGCTAAATACCGTGATGTATGGCACAAAATCAGCTCCATTTCTAGCGATGATGACGCTTAAGCAGCTAGCTATAGACGAGCGTCAACGTTATCCTGAAGCATTGAAAGCATTAGAGCAGCATCTCTATATGGATAACGCTTTGTGTGGTAGCTATGACATCACGTCAGCCGCAAAATTGCAACAAGAGCTAATCGACCTACTTAAAACCGGAGGATTCAACCTTCGCAAATTTTCGTCAAATCAGAAGTCACTACTGGAAGATGTTGATGTCGCATCAAGCTCCCCAAACACTTACGACTTTAAGCATCAGGAATCAACCAAAGCACTCGGACTTACATGGATTGACAAGGATGACAACTTCACCTTCCAATGCGAAATGACAGCACCAACTACAACCAAACCAACAAAAAGAGTTTTATTGGCTGAGATCTCTAAAGTCTTCGATCCTTGTGGTTTCCTTTCGCCAGCCGTGGTCCAGCTTATACTATTATTTCAAAGTGTTTGGCGAGAAAATCTAAATTGGGATGATGTCATACCTGATGACGTATACTCAAAGTGGTTAACATTAAGAGAAGACATCGAGAACATCAGTGATATCGAAATTCCCCGATGGATTGGTACCGAAAAGGGAAGTAAAGTTCAGCTTCATGGTTTCTGCGACTCTTCCACCAAAGCTATCGCTTGCGTTGTTTACGCCCGTATTGTTTATAAAGACACAGCATCTGTAAAAATATTAGCAGCGAAAACGAAACTCGTACCATCGAGTAAAACTTCGACCAAAAACAAAATTTCCCTACCCAGGTTGGAATTAAGCAGCGCAATTCTACTTTTAAAACTAATGACTAAAATAAAACTAAGCCTAATAGCACTCAATCTCGAAGTTTACGGATGGAGCGATTCCACAGCAGCTCTGGATTGGATTCAGGGGGACTAACGCGAAGCCAGCAATAGAGTCAAGAAGATTACAGACGTCATGCCTCCAGAATGCTGGCGTTATGTAAAAAGCACAGAAAACCCGTCTGACTGTGCCAGCCGTGGTATGAAAGTGGAGCAGCTACAGCAGCATACCTTGTGGTGGAAAGGGCCTTTATGGCTATCATCATCAGCTGACCCTCAAGAAAATCAGAGAACTTATCAAACCGATTTAGAATGCAAGGTGAAATTATCTAACATCGTACAAACAAACAAAAACAACGACGAAATTGATATTATTAGCGCAATAATTCACAAACAAAGCAGTTTCACGAGAGCAACACGTGTACTTGCATGGATATTGCGAGCGATTTCAAAAAATAGCGTAAAATTACCATACTTAACAACAGCGGAGTTGCGTAACGCTACTGAAAAAATCATAATGAACGTTCGAAAATCCTAATTTTCACAGGAAATAAACGATTGCTATTGACGTGCTAAGCAAGATGGATTCTAAGAGCAAGCTTCTCTGCCTAAATCCGTATTTAGATCAAAACGGCTTATTGCGAGTTGGAGGCAGACTCAAAAATAGCAACATCCCTTACGATATGAAACATCCATACATTATTCCACACAGTGGTCACCTTACTAACATACTTATCGATCTTGCACACAGATCAACTTTTCACGGAGGAGCCCGCCTCACTCAAGCTTGGCTTAGACAGCAATATTGGATCTTAGGTGGAAATAAAGTTGTGAGAAATCGCTTACGCCGTTGTATTATATGCAAACGTCACAATCCAGAAAAGAATGAACAGCTAATGGGAGAGTTTTTACCGAACGAGGACGAATTTCACGGGATACATAGACATTAAAGCAAATAAGGGTCGAGGCATTAAGACCAACAAAGGATACGTGGCCGTCTTTATCTGTATGGTCACAAAAGCTATCCACCTGGAGTTAGTCTCTCGGCGGCGACCTATCATCATCGGCGTTTTTGGCAGCCCTTCGTCGATTAGCAGCAAGGAAGGGTACTCCACGTCATTTATATAGTGACAACGGGACTAATTTCATCGGACCGAACAACACCCTTTCCAAAGAGTATTTCGATCTTAAATCAATATTATCGGAAGAGTTCTTCACAGAAATCAGGGAGATGAAGATAGACTGGCACTTTAACGCCCTCTCGTGGCCCAGTGCCGGTGGGCTTTGGGAGGCAGCAGTCAAAAGCTTAAAGTACCATCTGCGTAGAGTTATTGGCGATCAAAAACTGACATATGAAGAATTTTCCACGTTATTAGCGCAGCTAGAAGCCTGCCTCAATTCGAGACCCCTTTGTGTATTGTCAGAAGACCCGGACGACATTAATTATTTAACGCCAGCTCACTTCTTGTCCAGCGAACCTATTCTTTCGATCATTGAGACAAAACAGACGGGAGAACTAGATAGCAGCTCACGCAAAAGATATTCAGCGACATTTGGAAAAAGTGGCGTGCTGAATATTTGGTTCAGCTTTCAGCACGAAGCAAATGGCGTGAGTCACGGGAAAACATTAAAATTGACGATGTTGTGGTGATACACGACGCTAACTTACCCCCTGGTAAATGGGCTTTAGGTCGCGTGATTGAACTACACCCCGGTACCGATAATCTGGTCCGAGTCGTCTCAGTCAAAACACGAAACGGTTCTGTTATCAAAAGACCTGTAATTAAGTTATCGATCCTACCAGTTAACATAGATCAGTCAAACAAAAGTAGCGAAACAACAACAATAAACGAAGCATCATCAAAAAATAAAAGGACACAAACACCGAGGAAAAGTTTTTATATAAACTTCTTATCTATTTTTATGACACTTTCTCTGTTCATAACTTCAACTGTGCATGCAAACTACAACATCACAAACATAGATTACTGTGTATATACTAGAGATCACAAAACTGAGTGATAACAAATACATATTTTTTGAAAAATTGGGAAGTATGCGATTAGTACAGGATCGTTGGAAATTAGTTACTTACTACGACATGCAACCATATTGGTACGGAAAAAGGATATTTAATACATATTTAGGTCATCTTCAAACATTATGCACTAAATCGGAAACCGAAAACACGCATTACGAAATAATATTGCAACAGCTGATACACGGGCTCACTGAACTGGAGCATTATGACCGCATGTTACTCAGTCAGCATTTTGATAGTCAGAGCGGGACAGTATTTCATGCCGGCACACCGCCTGCGACTTTACAAAGTATACTGTTCCCATCTCTGGGCTGGGGCTCCCCAGTACCAGCTCCTTCCACTTGACCGCATCCAGCGCAGAGCGGCTCGAATCGTGGACGACCGAGTGCTTTCCGATCGGCTCGATTAACTGGCGCTGCGAAGAGATGTTGCATCTCTTTGCGTATTTTATTTCGCATCTATCACGGGGAGTGCTCTGAGGAATTGTTCGGATTAATCCCAGCAGCCAAATTTCGTGAACGCACTATACGGCAAACGTCCCGATACCATCCACACCATTTGGATGCTTGGCGGTCCACCACTGTACGTTTCAAAAGGAGTTTTCTTCCGCGTACAACCTCTCTGTGGAATAATTTACCACCGGCGATTTTTCCGGACCGATACGACCTGGGGACCTTCAAGAAAAGAGCTTACTCCTTCCTAAAGGGCCGGCAACGCACCTGCAATTCCCCTGGTGTTGCGGTTGATCATGGGCGGCGGTAGTCACTTAACATCAGGTGAGCCGCATGCTCGTTTTCCCACTCCTCTATAAAAAAAACATCGCTAATACATTGTTCGGCGATCTAGACCAGCGGTTTGTGGTCCAGTACGAAAAAGATATCAAGTTAGTTCGGAGCAATCAGAGCACATTTAGCACAACTTTGGAAAAATCAAACATCAGTTATAGAAGCGGAAAATAATATTTTGAAAAGAATCGAGAACACAATGGAAAAGCAATATAAGACATTTAATCAGCATTTAAATAATTTAGAAAAAATATCGAATACAGTGAAAGCCGAAATATCTAAGGTAGAAATCAAAAACGACTTCATCATGTCATGCATCATAGCGAATAATGTCCTTTCAAATCTGCGTAATATCCAAGATACCCTCCTAGATACGATCACTAACCTTCAACATTTAAACCTTCATCTACTGTCACCCACCCAGCTCGAAGACGAACTAAGCGTAATATCGAGCAAACTATCAAATGATTTGTCATTACCAATAGATAGCACCCAGAGTAACTTATCCACACTATACAAAATTTTGAAGGTCATAGCTAGAATGACAAACCAGTATTTCATTTTTGAAATTCAAATCCCCCTCACTAATAGAGATGACTATGACATGATAAACCTATTGCAGATCACGTAGCCATAAACCTGAAGAAAGATACGTTCATACCTGTGACTTACAACGACTTTCAGAACTGCATAGAATATAATAATAATATTTATTCGGATTATCTTTGCCAGCTTCAAACGCCCGTCTACGAGAGACAGACGGACGAGAGCCTTTGTATTAAAAACAAACAATCAAACACTTGTAAAATTATCAGCAGCGCGTGTCAGACTACATGGCGAAAGCTTACAAAGCTAAACACGTATATAATTAATTGTTGCGATCAATGTACCTTCCGATTCATATGTCAAGATCGAGTTACCGTAGAACAGGTGATGGGAGTAAACATTATAGTTCTCGGTACAGACTGCGTCATTCGGGGAAATGCGTTAGTAATTACGCCTCATAAACAAATGAAAATGTGATTATTATCGAGCCGGTGATCTTTGCACCAGAGATCGCGCCTGTCAATAACATATCGATACCCATCAATACGATCAACATTACGGAGAATTTCGGGCAAGCTATAGAAAATATTGATCGACAGATTAAAGAGTTAAAGTCAGCTTCGGACGGCATAGCCAGCGAGACGAACAGCCTCGACTATCATGATGTCCATCACTACGCCGCTATCTATTCACTGGTGGCGGCAGGACTAGCAGCAGCGTGCGTTGCATGGGTGTGCGAGGTGGAGACGCCCCGCCCGCCCAGCTCCAGCCAGCAGTCAGCGTGACACCAGTGTACAGTGTGTGTGTTTAAAAGATGTGAAGTGTGAAAGTGAGTGTGTGAAAACAGAACAAAGTGATCATTGTGCAAGTGTGTCCGATCAAGATAATCAAAGTGTGCCTAATCAATCAGTGCATAAAAACACTTCCCCAATTTTACTTAAATGTAATTTAAAAAAAAATAGATAATGTCGTGCAATCATCTTATAAATTAGCCGATAAGTGTTACGTCGGTCTCATTTATGTTTTAGTTAGGCTCATCTCATTGTCATCTCGCCCATCTTCTCGCCCGGGAGCATGTACGGTGTAACCGCACTATCGCCCGATCAGCATTTTCGCCTCATACACTTATTTTTATTGTTCATCGAATCAGTTCACATAGCATCGCCACACAGTGCGTTCGTGTACTCATCATTAGCTATTAGCAGTTTTTAAATATATTTTCTATTTTACCTCAAGCAGCATATTTTATTTATATCATCGAAGTATTCACGAATATTTATTGTCACATGTGTGTGACCGCGGTATTAGTACATATTTTAAACTGTAATTTAATGTGATGATGATATAATATTTACAAATACAGCGTCGTTTTACAAATGTTTGTGCCCTCCTTGGAGCAATGTCTTAGCAACAACATTTGTACGGAAACAATATTTGTATGGGCTGCAAATAATTGTTCCAGGTCTGTATGTTTGGTCATGTTAAATTTATGTCTGAACTGCCCCTACAATACAGGAGAAAATCCTAGTATGTAAGTAATTTTTAATAAAAAATATCTTATGCAAAAATGATATAAAATTTTATGTGGTTTTGCGTGAAACAAATAGCATCAGTCATTCCTTTTTTGTTTTTCTTTTTTTGCGTATTTTCTTTAGCGCGCAGTTTCTTCTGGGCCAGTATGTTTGTACAGCAAAAGCTCAAAAGAATGAATTCGACTGCAAATTGCATTTTTAGCGTTAACATTACTGCTGAAATAACAGTATCTCAAATGGTTCAAACGTAAAGGTTAAACACACTTTGTCACCATGGAACTAGGATGGAATGCCTTTCAGCTTGCAATACAAATATAACTCTTTTGCCATTGAAATCGAAACCCAACAGTAAGTGCTTTATTGCATAGCTTGTTTTGCAAACGTGGACTCCATTATTATGGTACCACTTGAAAACCAGTGCTTTGGCAGGTATCCCACAAATTATCATTGATGTGGGAGTCTCTTCGACCTCACAAAACTTTCTATTCACCATATAGTAAACCAACTTCCCCACATGATCCCGTGAATGGTAACCATGGCAATTTTTGACATGGTAGAGCCAGGCTGCAGCTGTATTAGTAGTATAGTTGTAGCAAGTATTGGTTGGGTCGACCGGGGAAGAACCACGATCTACAGAATACCAGCGTAAAATGGTAGTTCAACATTGATGTATTACACATGTTGAGTGTAGAGAATCGCAGACCCTTTTTATTGTAAACGGAGCATTCCGTCTTAGTTCTCAAACAGATGAACAAACAGATGTAGATGTCTATGAGCCACAGCAACCACTTACCATCAGTTACACAGTATGCTCGCTTGCCACCCATATCCCATAAAAATGGGCTTTAATGATGATTATAAAGTTGATGAATTACTGTTTCTTAATATTGTGTTTATGAAATGTCTTTCTTTCTAACTTTGTAAATATAGGTATAAGTTTATTATCTACCCAGATGTAGTACTACACTAAAAACGATCCCCAATACCTAAATAATAAGTAACCAGCGGCTGGCTTTAACCAATGGTTCTGTGCGTTCTGTCTGTCTTATTATTTATGTGTAAGGCATCTTCTTATTTATTTCCATCGAAATACAGCATTCAGAATTTATTTAATAGCTCAAGGATAATTATTGACAATTAATGACACCGTTCACCGTTTAGACGGGGCTTAAGAAATTCCGCTACCCCATATCGTCCCGTGGGTGTAGTAAAGTAATAAAACTGTGGTTGCCAACCAGTCTGCCAAGCGTGGAAACTGTGGCAAAATCCCTCCTATGAGTTAATATATGGGTAAGGCTTATTTCAGTTCAGCAGTGGACTTTTATATTTTTTATAGTATAAGGGTAATGAAGCAGTTCACCTGATGGTAAGTGGATGCTGTGGCCCATAGACATCTAAATTTATCTTAAATTGAGAATTAAAACGCAGATGCATTGCCACCCCTGAGGACTAAGACGGAATGCCTCGCTTCCAGTAAAAAAGGATCTCAGGATCTCTCACACACCATATGAAACACAGCAGTATTAATAAGCTACTATTTTACCCTGGTATATAAATATAAACAATATGCTATAATATATGAATGGTTGAATTTAACAAATAACAGTATTTTCTAATATTAAATGCCAAGAACCGATTTCGATAGACTATATAAATTGAATGAATATTGAATTTGTTATAATATAGTGAGCCATTAAAACTTGTCTATTTCCCATTGCCGGTTCAATGTTAAACAATTACTGTAGCTTTTAACAAATAACCTCGCAAACTATTTAAACGCATATTAATCCCGGAGGTCCATTAAATAGTTTTGAGTATATACCAACATTTCGAAGTCAATAATTGATTGTGGAAAGGTACTGATGATTTTATGACTGGAGTAACGTAGTAGCAAAGCGTTCGGCTGCAGTGCTGTAGTTTACAAGTTCGTTTCTTGATACTTAATAGAATCAGGCGTTACTTTGCAGAAATCAAATTCTTACCAACTTTAAGGTTCGTTTCTTGTTAACTCACACACATATTCTGTATGGAATAGGAATAATTGATCCGGTACTATATGTTTGTCCATGTTTTTATGGCAGCAATGGTGACAAATAAACACACTTTTGACATGATAGTGAGCTGGTACCACTTTTATTAAAAAAAAAAAAAAACGTTACAAACCCCTATACTAGGATTTTCTCCTTTATAGAATAAGGATGACAAACGCACTGTTCACCGAATGGCAAGTGGATGCTTGAAAATCAAAATTCTGATGAGTTGTCACCTTTGACCACTAAGATGAAATGTCTCATTTCCAGTAAAATGGGTCTTCGTTTTTGCACACTCACCACATAAAACACATCAGCATTAAGCTGCTATTTAACATTGCTGTTCTGTAAGTAAGTGGACCATCGCCAGTGCTGTAAACATAATAAAGCATGGTTCTCCATGTTTACATAAATTGCACAAGGACAAACATAAAGACAGAACGCGCAACTCAAAGCCACGGCGATCTCGAAGAGGAAACTTCCATTTCTTGGATGGAGCGTTGCGTTCGTTACAAGTGACGAACTATTTCTTTCTTTTGTTATCAGAGCCTAGAGATAATATAAAATACCGATAACTGCTGGATGCAGCACCTAAAACAATGTTGCTGCATTTTAGGTATATACGTGGTAGAGCCATGCTGCAGTTATATTAGTAGTATAGTTGTAGCACGAACGGGTCGGCTCGACCGGGGAAGGACCACGCTCTCACAGAATACCAGCGTCAAATAGTAGCTTCATGCTGTTGTGTTTCGTATGGATGGTGAGTGTAAAGAACCGGAGCCCCTTTTTTACTGGAAACATTCCTTCTTAGACCTCACGAATGACAACGCATCTGCATTTTTATTCGTAATCGACGAAAGATGTAGATGTCTATATGCCACAGCAACCACTTACCATCAGGTGGACTGTTTGCTCGTTTGTCCTTAAAAAAAATGGTGCCTATATTATGTATAAAATACCGCATATATTATGTATAAAGTAACGTAACAGCGTGTTCTTGGAATACGTTGAGCATAAATTTGTTTATTTTACTTTGGATTTGTTTAACTTAGAGCCGTGGTAGCTCAGTGGTTAACGCTCGCTGTAAATATAACAGAACGCGAGTAACCCGGGTTCGATCCCCGCCGGCACCAATGAAAGTGTTAATTGCAATTTTAAGTGCTGATTTACCACGTGCTCGGCGGTGAAGTAAAACATCGTGAGGAAACCTGCATGTCTGAGGAATAAGAAAAAAAAATATTTTCGAGGACATGTGAAGTTCGTCAACACGCATTTGGGCAGCGCGGCGGACACTTCCTTGCCCTAAACCCTCTCAGAAATGAGGGGAGGCCTGAGCCCAGCAGTGGGACGTATATAGGCTGTAACTTTACTTTTACTTTTACTTTTGTTTAACTTACTTTGGAAAAGAAACGTTCTGCTGGGTTTCTTGCAAGTTCTTCCCGAGACAATTGTTTTTTTCCGAACTGTAAAATTTAAAAATAAATTCTTCAATAAAAAAAAATCGATAATTAATATATACAACTAATTAAATGAGCTCGCCTACCGAACTTTTTATTTTGCTTACATAGTGATAACTATGTGGCTAACTACTAAAGTTTAAACTTATAAATTGCTCTATCTTCCGGTCAAAGTTAACCCTAAAGGGTGACTAAGACTTACGGTTAAAACGCTTTGGAATGCGACCGAATCGCTCTTATACTATAATTCCGAAACAGCTTTGAGAAGCGTTTCCAGTCCTTTGGGAGTTTGACGATATTCACACTCTAATTAAACTTGACTTCAGTTGAATTCCCCGCAGTATTAATGGCACGTAGTCACAGGAGCTGTTATTAAACGAAATGTCGAGAGAACTCCGTCAGATTGTCCTTTTAGATAAAGGATCACTTTGCGTATTAGAGCCAAGCTGTAGATATACTCGTAATGCGGTTGTAGCACGAATAGTTTGGCTCGACCGGGGAAGGAGCAAGCTTTCACAGAATACCAGCGTGAAATAGCAGCTTAACCCTTTCGCTGTGCCGTGCACTACATATATGTTATTGCTATTATCTTACTAGTGTCTAAATACAGAAGAGTGAAAGTGTTAATGCTGATGTGTTTCGTATCTTGAGACTAGGGAACTAGATCTTTTTCGCTGATATAGGATAGTGGGCCGTATTTTTAAACTTAACGGATTCTTTTACATATGACATGTCTCTAGAATTAAAATTACAGCAATTTAAAATAATTTTGCTAATTATAATTCTTTATATTTTCTTCTCAGACTGAGGAAGGCTTAGTGGTCAGGCTGCGAGGCAGTCCGGCTGCCTTGTGCTGATCAAGCGCTGAGAGCCAGGGACGGAGATTCCTTAGGATCACCGCTTTTAGCTTCTTGGGATGGACCTGACAGTATTGCTTCGGTGAGCATTGGAACAAAGAAGGAGTACTGAATAATTAATTTTAAACAAATAAAATTAAATAAATATGTAATCGGCCGTATGAAGACGCTCAAGGTCGCTCAGCGAGCTATGGAGAGGGCTATGCTCGGAGTTTCACTTCGTAATAGACTCAGAAATGAGGATATCCGCAGTAAAACCAGAGTGACCGACATAGCCCAACGGATTAGTAAGCTGAAGTGGCAATGGGCCGGCCATATAGCTCGAAGAACCGATAACCTATGGGGAAGAAGGTTCTCGAGTGGCAGCCTCGTACCGGTAGGCGTAGTGTAGGGCGACCCCCCACTAGATGGAGTGACGACCTCGTAAGACATGCAGGAAGTCGATGGATGCAGGTGGCTCAGGAACCGTGCTTTGTGGCATTACTTGGGGGAGGCCTATGTTCAACAGTGGACTTGTGAAGGGCTGTAATGATGATGAAAACGATATGTAATCATAAGTTCTTTGACTGTATTGGCGGTGTTTGAATATTCACTGCCCCATGTCGTTCTGTGAGTGTCGTACGGGACGACAGAGGAAAACTCAGGGTCTCAGAGCAGATACTCTCAACTAAGGCAAATATTCTCCTTATGGAGCCTTCGTTCAGCAGTGTATATACTTTTGATAAGCTGTAACGGTATTAGCCTCTTAAAGACCACCGCTTGGAATGTCCTACACGAAAAAAGGGAAAAAATGCCTTAATCGAGGCGTAGGTGTCTATGAACCATGCCATCAGATAGATTTAACAGTATGCTCGTTTCTCGATCTAGAAGTAAAAGAACATGTTAGCCAAGATCATCATAAACATAAACATTCACGCCTGTCATCCAGAGGGGAACTCCTAGCACGATCCTGACAAACCATTCTCACCTCCTCCACATCCATATACCTAAGCATACATGCTCGTCGGTTAAGGGTACCCTTAATTTGGTCCATTTTAAATATATCGTTAATTTGTCGATAACTTTCGCCTAGGACGTCCCATTCCGACTCTTCCGACCAAACCACCTAAACATTTCCTTCTTAATCCTGGTCCCAGCATAATCTTGCAAACCACACTTTTCTTTTATCACACAATTTCTCGCCTCTCACTCAAATTCTGCCCTAGCATATTCCTTAACGACCGCTAAACTGCGTAAAAATAAAAATTATATGTCTCACCTAGTTTAAAGAGTACATCCCCACTACATCCGTGTATCTCGTTGTGGGACAATTGCACCCACTACCCTGTCACCACTACCCCCAACACCACTGAACTAGGAAAGACACACCACTGTCGACACTATCAGAACTTGGCGACGAATGACTTCAAAGTGTCTTAGTAGTCAGTCATCACCGAGTTCATTTCTCCAGATGAAGCCTCGCTTAGAGGCGAAACACTTGTCGTATTAACGTGGTGTTAGTATTAGCGGTGACGGAGTTAATGCATACAATTGAGGAAGGGCGGAATATACTTTTCAAACGATTTCTGCAAAGAAACGCCTAATTCTATTAATGTCTTACTTCTAGAAAAGTAGTATTTAATAAAGAAATTTTTTAAAGACAGGTGACGTAGAAACTACGACTGATGGTACGGGTGTGATCGAAATAGCTGGTGGTCGGAACATCCTTGTGGAGCTGAAGTCGGCGGACACTAGTGAACGCTGCACTGGCGGCTTCTTGGCCCACGCCTACCAAATTGGTTAGTGACCTGCAAATAACGTTTCGTTTGCAGCTAAAGCAGCCGAAATTGAGAGCTATGGTAGTTCAGAAGAGACATAGTAGTTTAAGCTGAGCTAGGCTAAGCGTTTACTGTATATTTCACAATATGCGAGAAAACTGGTTTTAATTCCGCCGGTAAGCAACAGTGCTGATACATGCTCAGCGGTGATGGAAGACATCGTGACGAAACCTGCATGCGTGATTAAAATATTTCGAGGACATAGATACGCACTGGAGCAGCGCCGTAAACTAATCGCTCCATAGCCCTCTCAAAAATCCGAGGAACCAACAGTAGATTTGTTTGATGGGTCCGTGGCGCAGTGGCTATGATGTGAGATGTGGCGCTGGGGCCGCGGGTTTGAAATCCGCACCGAAATACAAGTATAACTACTTAGTACATAGTTACTACGTAATTGCACATTGAACAAAGTGTACTTTGACTGCCTCGTTGGTCTAGTGGTTGTAGTAGTGCGACTGCTGATCATAAGGTCCCGGGTTCGAATCCCGGGTCGCAATAAGTTATTGAGTTTTTCCATTAAGAAATTCCCAGTAGCTGCCCGGAGTCAGGATGTTGGCGGTGTCTCACCCCCGTGCCTCGGAAAGCACGTACAGCTGTTGGTCCTGCGCCTGATCTCTCTCTGGTTGTGTAGGTTGACCGTTCCATCGAACCATGAGATTAAGGGAGAGTGCACTTGTGCTTGCGCATACACTTGAGCAGTATAATCCTATCCTGCGCCCAGACTAAGTCTCCGTTGAGGCTGACCGCCGTGACCGAAATTCGGTCTGGAGGATGTTTATTAACACGATTTACTTAGCCCGTGCTATAAAAAGGTACACACATACATACATATTTTGTTCGTGGTGTCTGTTCAAGTACGTAGTACAGATTATTGCAATGAAGAAATATAAAAATAAATATAACTTTATTGTACACCGTAACCAAAAGTTATAAAAATAAAGGAATTGTGCGTTTTAAAAGTGTGCTTAGGACCACACGACTGAAGTAAAACTTCTTCTTCTTATATGGAGTGTAGAAGCAAGGAGTACCAACTCCCATAGTAGAATAGTTGAAAAAGTGGCCATCTGCAAGCAGTAAATAACAGTTCAAAAACTCTCCACAACAGCGCTGGAGTAGTTACTGGGATGAAATGAACTTAGCAGTTTCGACGGTTTGAAGTGTGCTGCTAAACTACTCATTAGCTCTAAATTCTAAAATAATTTTATTTAGTAAATATAACCTCGAAAAAGTCGTCTATCCCACTAATATTTTTCGGCACGTTCTTTAAAATTTAGCCCGTAGCTATAGCGGCGGCACACTTATTTAACGGTTTCCTATGGACACTTTTTAATACACAGTCTGTACTCGTTACTTCTATATAAGTAACATAATTAATAAGGCCTAAGATATGAAATAAGCGTTATGACGTAGACGAGTACTGAAATATCTTTTAAGTCCAAATTCAAATTTATAAATTCATTTAGCTGGTACATTTGAGTTTTGAACAGTCATTCATTTGTTTTATCCACATTATTTTTTTTCTTTGGCGTCGCTTACTACCGCACAATGGAAAACATGAAATACCGGTATATTTACGAGTTCGAGTTCTACCGTAGCACCAGTGCTGAAGAAACACCTCGAAGGATTAATGATGTGTACGGCGCTGCTGTCGGAAAATAAAACACGGTACATTTGTACGTTTGGACGGCCGGAGACCAAAGTGGAAAATGAAGGATTAAAGGCTATTGTGGAAGCGGATCCATCACAAAGCACTTCAGAGATAGCTGCAGTGTAAGTGATAAAACTTTATTAATCCACTTGAAGTAAATTGGGAAAGTAAACAAAACTTGAACGATGGTTACCTCATGAATTAAGTGAATCGAACTTGCAAACACGCGTCGACTGCTGTGTTACTTTGCTCAATCGACACAAAAATGAAGGGATTTTAAATCGAATCATTACTTGTCATGAAAAGTGGATACTCTAAGATAATCGGAAGCGCTCGTCGCAATGGCTGAACCCTGGGAACCCAGCCAAATCCTGTCTTAAACGAAAATTTACTCAGAAAAAGTTACTAGTGTTTGATGGAATAGCGCTGGTGTCGTTCGCTACAACTTTTTAAAATCTGGCTAAACAATTACGGCAGATATCTATTGTCAGCAACTGCATGCAAGGAAGAACTAGCTTCTAAACAACCGAGATTGGTCAATCGCTTCTAGGCCGCTTCAGCTTCACGACAACGCAAGACAACACACTGCACAACAAACAACCACTAAGTTAGATGAGCTACAATTGGAATGTCTGTGACGTCCACCGTACTCCCTGGACCTGGCTCCAACAGATTACCATTTTTCCGGAATTCGGACAACTTCTTACAAAGAAAAAAATTCAACTCCGATGCGGTCCAAACCGCCTTTAAAGAGTTTATTGATTCTCGCCTCCATGGTTTTTTTAGGAAAAGGATCAATAAACTACCTTTGAGATGGCAAAAGTGCATAGATAAAAACGGTGCATACTTTGTTTAATTAAGTAAATATTATATTTTACAAAAGAAATGACTTTATATTCCCCCCTTACAAAATGCCAATTTCATATGTAAGGACCTATATGTATATATGTATATACATATACATATATTAATTTTCTACAAATACTTAAATTTATTATTGGCTTCTTTTCATAATTTGTTAGTATTCACCCGAAAATTCACAAAACGTAAAGTTTAAAATGAATTTACAATTTTATTCACCTTAAACGTAATATACGTAGTATAAATTGTTCAAAACGAAATAAAATTACGAAAAATAACTGGCTATGAGAGAAAGAGAGAAAGAAAATGTGCGCACACACTGCTCTCTCTTGCTTATATCCCCCACTCAACTCTCGTTCGCCTCACCCCATCACACTTTTAGTAACGCTTTCGTCACGCGTTCGCCAGCTTACTTCCAAAGTCAAGTGTGCGTAAAGAAGTTGTACTTCAATAAGTTGCACAAGGGGCTATTCCAGGCAACCTTTGGATGTACAGAAACTTAAAACACAAGTAGACGGTAGTGTATTTCGTTCTGTCTCTGACTTCTTTTTGAAGTGAAAACTTCTTTAGCGGCTTTGAACACTTTTTTGTAATGGGTAAAAAAATGTTAAACTCGCGTCAGGACACGTGACCCTTATAGAAAATGCGTAAGACGGATGGAGAGAAAGAGACAGCAGGCGCGGCGTAGGAGAGGAAGTATCCCCCTCTCTTTCTACGGCGCGGCGAAAATGTATGCCTGCGCCTGTGTCGTTTAGTTGTGTACGATAGCGCAATAAATAAGTATTGTATTCTACCACATAAATGATAGTACTTTTATACTGATAATTAAAGCGATTCGTGCAAAATTATTCCCTAACCATTCCAAAATATTGTTACGCGCTAAAATCGGCGCACTAGCGCCATCTAGTCTCGAACCAAAGAACTAAACTTCTTGAAGTTTAAAACTCGAACTCTCGGTACCTTGCGCGTGTTTACTTGAACATTCTGGATATTTTGCTAATTTATAAGTAGGCGCTGCAAGATGCGATCGAGGAGACTTGAACTCGGCGACACAAGCGAAGCTTCGGAGCGGAATTAAGTGAATTAGTGTGTTTAATCATTAGTGTTTTAAGTTTTAATTTGTGTAAAGTAAATTAAAGTGTTAATTTAGGTAATTTTATCGGCAATTTTTATTGTCACGAACCTCAAGCTCGTAACAATATCATAAATGCACAACGTTAATATTCAAGTTTTCACTTCTGCTGGCACTCCCGGAGTGCAACCCGTCGTTTTTTTATTATTATGTGCGAGCAGCTGTGCAGGTCTAGGGAAAGAGACCAGTTTCACTGCGACCTAGAAGATCTATTGTGATCGCTGCTATGGCTATAGTTCACGGCTAAGCCATATGTATTCAATGAATAGAAGGAGTTGCTTAGCCGTGAGCAATTTCACTTCTTCTGGGCGGAGTAGATAGTTTCCCAGATGAGTGTTACGTTTGTGCATTAAGGGTCCGCAATCAGTTAAAATGTGTAGTATTCTTCCGTTATGGATCAGAACCGACATCCTTGAGTTGCTTAGTCCCAGGATGGACAGTGCTTTTTAAGACAACAGTGTCCAGTTAGGGCTCTTGCCAGAATGCGTAATTTATTTTTACTTAATCCCAGGGCTTCTAAAGGGAATTTACGATCAAAAGCCCGGATTAGATTTTAGAATGTTTTAAGCCTGGTGTGTCAGACCAGATCTTAAGTGATTAATTGTGTTAAAGAGTTTCAAGGGTCAATCGGGCTAGGCCTCTTGAGATTCCACAAAATGGCTTAGGTCCAAATTGTGTGCACTTTGAGTCCTCCCGTGCAAGTTTGTCGGCAAATTCGTTGCCTACAATACCCTCGTGACCCTCACGCTTTGACCTCAGCGCTAGCAGTGCTGCTTGACTATCAGAGTTTATGTAAATTATATGGTTGACGTAGTGCTTTTGCAGATTGATTTCCGCACACCGAAGTATGGCGAAAATTTCTGCCTGGAATATAGAGGTGTATCTACCCAAATTCATGCTTAGTTTGAATTTGGGGCGTTCCCCGTAAATTCCGAAGCCTACGTCGAGGCCCTTTTTAGACCCATCGGTATACCATATGAGGCTACCGACCTCACAGAGCTCTGACTTCTTAGTTTTTAGAAGCAAATATAAAGTAGTAAATAGGTAAGGCCGTAGATTTTGCCACTTAATAACATACAGTAACACAAAAGTAAACTTCTGCACATCAAATAAAAAATACTAAGTGGATTTTTCGTTACTCTACACGATCAAAACTTTTAGCAAAAAGTTGATATTTTTGATAAGGGTGCTATGTCAACAAAAAAGTATATTTAATAAATTACAATATGCACAAACCTTTACATACCTAAACCTTTACATTACAATAGTAAAACATTAAGAAACATGCAATCAACGTTACTAGTAACATCAAAGCTACATAGAAGTAACGTTAAAGCGTAATTTTTCAAGGTTATAAATAGACATAACTCGACATCGAGCTGAATAATAAACATATATACGCTACCATGCATAGTATTAGTTATTCGTGCATAAAACTATATATGATATGTGCAATAAAAACTGATATTTACCGTTAAAATCGTCAAAATTGACAATTAAAATTCAATGCCGAAAAACACGCGTGCACTTTTGACAGACTCCAGACTCCTGAATACTTGGTATTGTCTTTTTAAGGGAAATTTTGGTAACATACAAAGTAAGTAATATAGAAGCAAAACATAAAACATAAATTTAAATAGTAGTAAATCTAAAAAAAAAATCGTTTTTATAGACACGAAAAGCACGTTGTAGTAGCTTAACATTGAGGCATTTCATATAATCACAAATTAATTAAATGTTCATTACGTCGTTACTTATATTTTTAAGTTTTATAGTGTGAGAACCAAAAAGACATCATGTTTTGCGTTAAATTTGGGGGTCTGGACGAATTTAATTCGTTGTATTTTTTTATGTACGAAAGTAAAAAGTAAAGTTACAGCCTATATACGTACAACTACTGGGTACAGGCCTCCCCTCATTTCTGAGAGGGTTTTAGGGCAAGGAAGTGTCTGCCGCGCAATCAGCACTTAAAATTGTTAATTGCATAACAATTTCATTGGTACCGGCGGGGATCGAACCCGGGTTACTCGCGTTCTGTTATATTTACAGCGAGCGTTAACCATCTGAGCTACCACGGCTCTTCAATGTACAACTTACATAATTTTAAGAATGTGGTTTTTTATAAGCCATCAAAATATGAAAATATTTTTTCTTCAAAAAGTGGCAAAATATACGGCCTTACCCAACAAATACAATTTAATAAGCTTCCAGGTATATATAATGTACTCTGTGTAATAAGCAGAGCCGATCAGCAACGCGTCGGGCCGCGTGGGCATCAGTGGGTGGCGGGGGGCGGAGCGTAGTGGCGCGGCGTCGGGGGAGCGCGGGCTGCGGTCGGCGTGCTGGCAGCGCTTGCAGCGCTCGCCGCGCTGGGCCTCGCGCTGCATTCAGCACACCGCACCAGGGCGTACCAACGTGTCGCCGACAAAGAGTCGCTTACTGACAGTGATGGTGAGTTTTGATCCATGTCTGTAGCTGATCTCTATGTTTTTATAAAGGCCGGCAACGCACCTGCAATTTAGTTAACAAAGCGAGCAAAACATGGTAAAATTAAATATGACAAAAGTAAGTATAGGTAGTATAGCGGCTTAGGAAGTCTAGCCCAGTAGATGAATGTGTACAACATTCATCTACTGGGCTGGACTTCCTCTCTGTTCTATTTCTATGTGATATTTTGGTATTCCGAAATCGGGACGAGTCCTCCACGCGTCTACAAATCTGTTTCTTGACTTCAAACTATTTTTAAATTCTTAAATTAAAAATGTATATAATATATTATCAACGTGCAACTTATTTTATTTATTTACATTGTACGTATTTACCTAAACTGATTACCAATTTGTGAAAGCGATATCTATAAGCGAAATACCACTGACTGACTGATTCATCACGATATCTCCAAAACTATAGACCCGATTGACTTGAAATTTATTGTAGTTACTCATTTCGTAATGAGACGCTCACTAACAACGGATTTTACGAAAGTTCCATCAAAAATCTAGGTTCTGCAATAAAATATTATCGTGCGCCCAGTGAAGCGAAGCGGGTAAAAGCTATTGTTAATTAATAGCTGTTAGTTTTCCTGTTATAAAGAAATAAATTAAAAAAAATATTCTTAATTAAGTTTAATAAGCCGTAGTAAAGCAAGGGATAACTCGCCTATAATTTCAAAGCTCTAATGAAATAGTAAAAATTGCAATATTCTAAACTGATTTATGGCGTGTCTGACAAAAAAATACTTTTATAAAAAACGGAACCAGATATCGCTTCATTTGTCAACCAAATGAAAATAAAAACGGGCCAAGAGCGTGTCGGGCCACGCTCAGTGTAGTGTTCCGTAGTTTCCCGTCCGTCACAATAAGTGTTCCCACTTATGACTTTGTACAAAAACTGTTGTTTCTATCCAAGTTCAAAATGATTTTCCTAGAAAGTCCTTATAAAGTTCTACTTTTCAGATTTTTTTCATATTTTCTAAACTTATGGTTCAAAAGTTAGGGGGGGGACACATTGTTTTTTACTTTTGGAGCCATTATTTCCGAAATTATTGACATTATCAAAAAATGATTTCAGTAAACCCCTATTCATTTTTAAATGCCTTTCCAACAATATATCACACGTTAGGGTTGAAATTAAAAAAAATAATCACTTCCCACTTTACATATTATAGGGGGGCTACCCTAATAAAACATTTTTTTCCAATTTTTATTTTACCACATTGTCGGCGTGATTGATACACATATTGCTACCAAATTTCAGCTTTCTAGTGCTAACGGTCACAGAGATTAAGCGAGGACGGACAGACGGACAGACAGACATGGCGAAACTATAAGGGTTCCTAGTTGACTACGGAACCCTAAAAAGTTGAAAGGGCGCTGCCCATTGTCCTCTATATATACCTACACTTGTATTTATAGAGGTCAGTGGCGTTGCCTTATCTACGCCATTTTGACAGTTGACATATTGTAAATATAGTCATTATTTGTTTTTTTTAATTGATTTTTCGAAGTGTTCCTAATTTAAGCCTAAGCTCATTTGCGATGTTTTTTTTAATATATTAGTTATGGTAAGGACTTTGAGTTTTTGTCTCCGATTTCCTCGTAGTTTTGGTTGTATTTTGGTTTTATAGGGCCGCAAAGCTTAACGGGAACTATATTACCCTCACGTAACTTGCTCATTTCCTCCTCATTCTAATTACCATGTATGGGAGCTTTCCGTCCCCGTGGTATGAGGGGCTGGTAGTGTAACGTTATGCTGTGCCGTGGCGGATTGATAAGGATTTGTTATAGTTGCTATATTTATAACTAAATATACTAATATATATATATATATATATATATACATATTGATAATTAATATAAATAGGTACATATTGACGCATGTAATATACTTCGAACTGGGGACCCTTCTTACTGGATTTGAGGATATAGACATTCCATCTTGGTCCTACGGGAAGACCACACATCTGATTTGACTCTTAATCAGGGATAAATGTAGATATCTATGGGACACAGCATCCATTTACTGATGAGCGAGCTGTGTGCTCGCTTGTCGCCCTTATTATATGTATAACAACAAATCTTACTACTACTGGTCGTCCAGTAGTGGAGGTCCGTAATTCGTTAAATTTTAGATTTGTATATTAAGAAAGCTTTAATCCACTTTAAAAAAAAATATGCTTTCAACTGAACATTAATATATACGGCACTCCAAAGACCATTGAAAAAGAAACCATTGGATATCGCACAAAATTGACATCTTTTGTGTATGTGATACAGCCATGCTGCAACTATATTATGGTTGTAGCACGAATGGGTCGGTAGATCCTTAATATGGTCATTAAGCGGTCGCTTAATAATGTTGTGTTTCGTAATGATGTTGAGTGTAGAGAACTGGAGGCACCTTATACTAGAAACGAGGCATTCCATCTTATTCCTTAGGAGGTAACGGCGCGTCTGCATTTTGGTTCCTAATCAAAAACACATGTAGATATATCTATAGGCCACAGCATCCACTTACCATCGGGTGGACTGTGTCCTCATTTATCATCTTTCTATAAATAATTATGCAGTCGTACTGCAGCATCAAGATACTATTGTACGCTAGTACAATTTAGTTCAATGTACTGCAGCCATAATTTGCTGCAGCTTTAAAGTATTAAATCTGTAGACTTCGCATAAACAGTTTCTTTCTTCTGTATTCTTTTATATTTTGATCCATCCATTACAGTCGCTAAATGAAATGCAATGAAGGATTTAATTCGGTATAGATTATTGCATTATACTTAAATCACTAATCAGTATCGCTAGATTCTCCAGTTACATTAATTATGAAAGAATTTTGTTCTGCAAGTTCCATTATGTCATCCAAATTCCACATGGTATTTTCTTCTCGCCTATTAATGCTATTGCGTCATCTAACAATTTTTTAATGTCACTCATTTTGAACGTGGAGTTATTGGCACTAACATAATTTTTTATTTGTGCCCAAACTAATTCAATTGGACTAAGTTTGCAATGGTAAGGCGGTAGGCGAAGAATTGTAATGCCATTACTTTTGGCAGTCTCATCTATTAAATATTTATTATATTGTGGGGCAATTTCGGCAAATTTCATTAATAATTCTTTAGTTTCTTCAGTTTAAAGTACTTATAGACATTGTAAATTACGCGTCTCTCTCCGCTATGGATTATTGATCCACTTTTATTCTTTCGAATAGGTGAGGTATTCATTTTCAAAATTTAATGTTGAACGATTAACACGCAAAATACACAACCGTTTTGTTCGAAGGCCTGACTTCAACTGGTCACTGTGAAGTGTGAACTCGACTTTCTAATTTCTTGCATTTTAATTGGCTGGGGGGCGTGGCCATTCCGGCGGATAACGATGACTCACTATTTTCTTAACGCGAACGGACTATAGACTTACCAACGAGGCAATCTTGTTATAATAGTACTCACTTGATTCGTATCGATAATAAAAAGGGGCCATAATCTTGTTTATTATCCTACCAAATGCCGAGATACGTGTGCCTAACAAATATATTATTTACTCTTCCTCAATCTTGTTAACAAAATCGATAAACGGCACCAGTAAAATAGACGTAAAATTTAGAGCACTTCACCCCGAGTTTAAAACATAAAAAGGTAAAGGGTCTTGATTGCTAGCAGTGCCATTGTTTGGACACGTATTTGCTTACTTTACAACACGAACGATTGTTATGGTAATTGCCATGACGTCATATTATAATATGTAATTGAAAAGGGTATTTCTTTATTTTAGGGTCTATCATGTAAAATATTCACTACCTAAATATTTTCCCTTGTTTTCTATTGATATTTGTGTGTCTATGTAAAATATATTATTTCGATATAGCGACAGTAGGTACCTAACCTAATGGTTTGGTACAAACTGCGAATTCGTTTCTATAAAAGTGACAAACGGACTTGCACTCCACCTCATGGTAAGTGGCTCCTGTAGCTCATGAAGACCGAGAGGTCGTCACCTCTGAGGACTAATATGGTATGCGTCTCAGCCTTTAACTATGCTGGCTCTCTATACCCTTTAGAGCAGTACACGTGGCAGCAGAAATAGAAAAGAGTATCATACCAGTCTAGATGGACTGCTAGGCAAAAAGGATAATCACCTAGAAGGTTAGAGTCTGCTTAAGCGAGTGCACGTAACAGCTTGTGTAAAACAGTACAAACCGCGAACTTATAAGCATTGCTATTGCATTATTACACATGACTGCCTCGTATGTCTAGTGGTTATAAACGCGATTGTTAATCATGAAGTATCGGGTTCGAGTCCCAGGTTAGGCCAAAATCTGTTATTGGGTTTTTTTTTATAAAGATATACTCAGTCTCAGTCCGAAGTGAGGAAGTAGTTATACGACCACGGAAGAACGTAAAGCCGTTGGTCTTGCGCCTGATCTCACTCCGGTCGTGTCAGGTTACCATCCCATTGGACTATGATAGTGAAGGAATAGATAGTGCCCTGCACTTGCGCATACACTTGAGCACTATAATCCTGTCCTGCGCAGATTTCGATCTCGATGACGTTATTTAAAAAAATTGCCAGCAAAAATCTAATGTGAGCGAAGATACTATAGCATTGCATAACATATAACATAACATAAACACTCACGCCTATCACCCAGAGGGGTAGGCAGAGACTACAGACTTCCATTTGGCACGATCCTGACACACCTCTCTTGCCTCCTTCACATCCATACACCTACGCATACATGCTCGTCGGTTAAGGGTACTCCTAATTTGGTCCGTTTTCAATAAATCGCCAATTTGGTCGATAAATTTTCGCCTAGGACGTCCCTTTCCGACTCTGCCATTCACTTCTGCACCATAAATTTTCTTTGTCACTCTTTCCTCATTCATTCTTTCCACATGACCAAACCACCGAAGCATTCCTTTCTTAATCCTGGTCACAACATCATCTTGCAAACCACACTCTTCTATTATTACACAATTTCTTACCCTGTCATTCAGATTCAGCCCTAACATACTCCTTAACGACCGCATTTCTACTGCATTTATTCTACTCTCGTGCTTCTTCTGCCACACCTAACTTTCACTACCATACGTTAAAGTAGGGACAAACACAGCATTGTGAATTGCCATACGTGCCTTTTTCGACACATTTTGACTCTTCACAATAGAGTGCAGGCCCATCTCTATCTATTTCCTTATCATATCTCCCATCCCTGCTAAATACGCAGCCCAAATATACAAACTCATCTACTTGCTCGATCAACTCCCCTTCTATTCTTATTTCACAAACCGTTTTACTTTCTTCTCTTTCAAAAACCATAACTTTCGTCTTACTTGCGTTCACTTTAATACCCCTTTCTTTTAATGATCCGTTCATTAATGTAACCATCATTTGCAACTCGGCCGCCGACGACGCAAGAATAACTTGATCATCGGCGTACAAAAGGCATTTGACGGTTAACTCACCCATTCTTAATCCGCATTCTTCAACTTTCAAATTTTGCAAACAACTGTCCATAAATAGGTTGAACAGCCACGGGGAAGCCACACAGCCCTGTCTGACACCTTTATGGACTGCATTGATGTACTTTTGAAACTCCAAATCGATTTCACTTTATTACGTTTGCGTATAATTTCTAGAAGATAAGCAACATTTTCCTGATTACAACTCAAAATATTCCGTATTCCTTATGTTTTTATTTGTGACTTTTGCCGAGTGTTGCAAGTCACTAAGTTGATTTTGTCAAAAGCCCGCGCATGATCTTTTAATACGTTCTATTTAGGGACGAAGAAGACCAGGGTACAGACGTGTAAGCTGAACCAGGGGACACCATAAGCGTTGCGAGCGCTGAAAGCGTCGCCAGCCAAGCTACCATTACTCCAGAAACTGTGTCGTCGAGCAGCGCCCCAGCTGGCTCCAAAAGCATTATACATCGTCACCGCTGCGAAGGTCACACACCGTCTCCACCTCACATGTTAGCTCTTCTCAAGTAAGTATTGTTTTAAGACTACTACAAGTTCAAGTAACGTTTAGTTGAACGTTACCATTTGTTTAACCGTGTAGTGGTGGTATGAAAATATCCAATACCCCATACGGGAATAATCCCGTGGGTGTCGTTAGAGGCGAAAATGGGAAACAAACCAGAAAATAGGCAGCAGCGTTTTCCAGATAATAGTTACTAAATAAAAAGTTATTCCTGTCTGCGTGATGCGTGTGACAACTACGGCAAGAATCCCTCCCATAAGCGGGTCTATAGGAGAGGCGTGTGCCTCAGTTGACCACCGCAGTTGAACCTATTTCCACAGTTGAACAACAAATAGTCAATGCGTTAAACAGTGAGGGTAACTTTTTAAGTAAATAAATAAAGAAACCTATAAATTTTGAGAAGATGCATGCAGAATTACGATATTTTGTACTATTATAAGTCACTGCTTGGCTTCTATCCCACCAGATGGTAAGTGATGTAGCCGAAAATAGTGAAGCGCACTGATTTAGTTTGTATATGTAAGTATATAACGATATTTTACTGTTAGTGACTACACAAATTCGGTCCCCAGGTTTCAACCCTACCTGTCCAACAGCTGGCCGACGAACGAGACTTTGATGGCCGACTAATGGAAGAAAATTTTTTTTTAATTTGTGTACCCAAAATCCCCCTTTTTATGGGGAGGTATATATACTTGCGATGGTACTTAATGTACCTCTCGTATTCTTGAAAATGCCTCTGTCATGAAGTGAACTTATAAAGGCTTACTCGAGGAAGTTGACCCTAATCAGATTTGGCTCAACCTCGTCGATTAAGCCTTTTTAATATATAATCTACATTATTTCTTTAAGATTTTGAAAATAATAATTTTATTTAAATTCTTTCGTATATTTCGTTGAACAAAAGTATGATTACCGAATTTATCGCGTACCTATACATTACATCTCGTGAATATCGAAAGATATGAAAAAGGGGTCTGCTCGACCGGGGAAGGACCACGCTCTCACATAATACCAGCGTAAAATAGTAGCTTACTGCTGCTGTATTTCGTATGGTGAGTGTAGAGAACCGGAGACCCTTTTTACTGGAAACGAGGCATTCCATCTTAGTCCTCACGGGTGGCAACGTATCTGCGTTTTAATTTGTAATCGGGGATAGATGTAGATGTCTGTGGGCCGCAGCAACCACTTACCATCAGGTGGACTGTGTGCTCGTTGGTTACTCTATCCTATAAAAAAGGGAAATGTAACAGTAGATCAGCAGCAGCATCTTTCAATATAAAACAGCTTGCCAAGCGCGGTAACTATGGGAAATATAGGGGGTGAGGCATGAGGGTGGCCATGTTCAGTAGTAGATTTTGATAGGCTGTGATGATGATGTTGACTTAAATAAATACAAGTCGGCTATAGTAGTTCAATATTTTTATATATGAATTTTTTAGGCAACGTCACCACCTCAACCATCAGCAAGTAAGGCGGAGACAATTGAGATGAGCACTAGCAACACTAGCGTGAGTGAAAGAGGAGATAGTATGGGGGAAAAGGACAGAGAAAGTGCGTGGAAGAAGTACAGAAGCGAAAGTAGGGCTTCGTCTTCACGTGATTATCGTACTGATACGATAATCACAGCTATCCTTTACACGTTTTGTTCAGCGCTATAGTTCCTGCCGCGACTTATAAGACAGAATTTTTATTTTATAGTACGCGTATTTTAAGTAATTGAGTTTTAATATATTTAATTTAACGGATTTTCGCAAAGTAACGCCTAATTCTATTAATTAAAACTAAAAAATTGTTTCAGGGTTGGTACTCTCCCGCTTGGAGTGGTGTGTCATCTGCCAGAATTCGAGACAACCCTAAATATACCAAAGAAACTTGCAATCGTAAACTATTTAATTCAGACCTTATTATTACGACTACGACGTTAATAACGCCGGTAATAGCATTTTATTCAAAGAATTAAACCAGTTTGAAATATTTAAATATATTTATATTTTGTTTAAATTAATACAAGAGTTTAATTTATAAATGAATGAATGCTTACTAATTATTGCAGGTTCTGTTCCTGGTTCGTATTTAGGGATGGATCCAACTTTTTTAGTCCGGATACCGCCTGTTGAGGATGGTAAAGGAGATTGATGAAAACAAAACGTTTAAATGTGAGATACCTTTATTTTTTTTAATTACAGGATCATTATTGTATAATTAACGTATTTGGATCCAAATTAATAAAAAAATTATAGTGTTGATATAAGCACGCCTAAGTCGTACAAAATCAATATTTTTATTTGTTTTACAGGAGGTTATCCCAAAGGAGCTACGTCCAGATCCAGGCAGCAATACCGAGTCACCTGAAGACCGACCACCGTCTAGCACTTTGCGAAGAAATGCAGACAATCGCACAAACAGATCTAATGAGTCCATTAAATCTGTGAGGAAGATCATGGACAGAGGTAATATTATACATCCGCTTAACTTCAGCATTAGCGACTTGCAACACTCGTCAAAAGTGACAAAGAAAAACAAAAAGAAAAAGGAAGAGAATCCAGTATTATTATTGGTAATATTTCATTAGTACGGTACCGTCTACTTGTATAAACATAACAGTTTTAATTTATTGGATGTTGCAGTAATTATTAATTAAATGTTTTTAGGTCTATGGTCAAAAAAGTTACAAACTTGTTTGACTTAATCATAAATTAAGTATATAGGAAGATTCCTTAACCGTGAATCTCATCGGCTGGTCATTGCCAGCTTGTGTAACTCCAAATATTATAATGTGGAAATTTCTACAAATGATCGAGCCTGTAGTCAAGTATATGGACCAATATGAGTACACATAACTTTCAATTCCTCGTCAAATCACCTCGGAAATCGATACTATACACAAAAGTTGATTTCGTATTAAACACAAGTATATAAACGTAATAATATATTTTCTCTCTGTCACACTATATACGTCTATAAATAGCCGTCTCACCTAGCACTGTATTCCATACATTTAATTTGTTTTTATATTTAGAAGACTGACATTTTCGGGCAGTGCAATACTTCTAAATTTTGTCAATTTTTTAAAATAACATCGTTGTAGGAATTCTACTTTTTTTCTTTTATTATGCAGTAACGATTAGACATATTTTTATTGTAGCCTAAACTAAGATATTGATTTTAATTGTGAAACGAAAACTGCATTTATTAAATTATGCCTGAATAGGGAATGAGAGCAAAGAAAAACATCCCGTTTGAAACGGTTATTAACAATGGGCATGTGATATATAATAATTGTACTTAATTAATAGATAATTCATGGAACCAGTTGTTGCATAAATGTTTAAAATAAAACGGAAAATAAATCAATGAAACATTTTTCGTTTGCTTACATAAAAAGATTTGTTAGTAAGCATATTAGAAATTTAATTTACATATGATTTAAGTTTACAAGCGTTTGCTATAACCATCAGACAACACAGTAAGCTTTTCAGTATTTCTTAGTACCCATTCTTACTCATTTACTACATGGAGGTATCAAATATTATAGATTTCCTGAAGCCAAAGAACATATTTACTAAATTTGTTATTTACCCGACTGCGGTGGATTTTAAATAAATGGTACTTTAATAACTGGTTCTCATATCGGACTGCACAATTTTTGTAAAACTTTATTTTATCTTTAAAGAATAATATCGGCACTGTTGATGTACTTAAAAAAATAAAATAAATAAATAGTTTTTGGGTCCTTCTATGGATGAATCTTAATCAATTTGTTATATTTGCGCAGGAAATAATGACTGTATGACGTCAGCGTAAAATAAATATGGTGAAAATAAAATGTTAAAAACTCGCTAACCATATATTACACAATAGCGTGTGTAATAATAATAATAATAATAATAAATGGCGTAGGGAATTGACGACCCCATCGCCCGCTGACGTAACAGTTAAGAGACAAAAATGCTACGTCAACGCAGCCAGTCAGCGCCTTGCGAGAGGTGTGAGAGCCGTGCCTCGGCAGAATTCAGGGTGCAAAGGCCCGTTTGTGCTTATGGCCGTCCACGATACGGTGCCGGGCCTGGGCGTCTCCCGTTAATGGACGCCCAAATTCTGGATGAATGTGCGCAAAGGGCCGCTGCCTGGAGGTCGCCAGGGCGCGTCTAGAGCTGGCGCTGGACGCGACAGCATGCGGGCCGCCAGCTGAGCGCGGGGTGTTGCAAGACCACCTAGCAGCCCCCCGCATCCATCATCCCGACCAGAAGGCTTGGTGTCGGCTGGGTCTTCTCGGACTCAGCAAGCGGCACCCGCCGCTGGTGGAGCACGTCGCATGCGTTGGTCAAAATTAATGAATGAAAACGCACTGCGGGCGTATTTTAGGACAAAAGGGGAAGAAACTGGATGTTTGGCGTATCGGGCTCGGATGCATCGCTTTTTTGCAGAGCTGGAGCCATCTCTATCCGTCACTGAGCAAAACCTGGCAGACCGAGTTCGGTACATCAACAACATATTTGGTGACGCCGAACTCGAACCACTACGACGTGAAGCTATTCCTTCATCGAATGGAAATGCTACTGCTGGGAATGCGGCGCCACTAGATGCGCAACAAACTGCATATGTGGATGCTGCCGTCAAAATTCCATTTGTGGCTAATTGAGACGATGATGGAATAGTCTCCCACGAACTAGAGAAAATGAGGAGCATATTGGAAGAGTCGATGCTGGAAACGCGCAGTATGCCTCTCGAAAATCGACCACGACTTCCCCGCATACCCCTTAGCAAGCGAAATCGGGCTGTCGTGCGGGCTCTTAACCCAATGCTGGTGACCTATTTGGAAGTCAGCCGGGACCTTTCCGAAACGGACTCAATTCTTTTTGGCGCCGCACTGACAGTATGCCATATTATTGGCGCCAAAACTCCCGTGGCTGGACGTGCTACCCAAAAAAGTAGCGCCATCCCAGCCTGGAGAAAAAGAATTGAGGACCGTATCGCAAAGGGTAATAATAGACCGAGAGTTTTGCGCACCGTTAGAATGGCGTTTGCTAGGACAAATTTTAGTTTTTACCAGCCGGATATCACGCAAAAACTAACGGAGCGCGTAGATGACCTGAAGCAAAAAATCGCTGCTTTGGGGAAACGGATTCGACGATTTAGCGAGAGGTCAAGGCGGTTCAACCAGAATCGTCTCTTCCAGAGTGATCAGAAGAAGCTCTATAAATCATTGGAGTGACCAGAGGTATGTGGAGCGGGCTCAGGACCGGATCAGGCTGACACTGTCGCATTTTGGTGTGGCCTGTGGTCAGAGCCCGTAAACCACAGCGAGGGCCCTTGGATGGAAGTTGTGGCGAGCCAGAGTGCAAGTGTTACGTCTATGGACCCCATCACCATAACGCCTGAAGACGTGGCTGAGGCGGTCCGTAGGGCCCCGAACTGGAAAAGTCCGGGGCTCGACGGGCTGCATCATTACTGGCTGAAGGGGTTCGTAGTGTGTCACGCTGTGCTCGCCCGACAGTTTCAAGAGGCTCTCGATCAGAAGTCGCTCCCGAGCCTCTTCACTACTGGGATCACTCATTTGGTTCCTAAAGATCAGGATACCACAGACCCGAGCAAATACCGCCCCATCACGTGTCTACCCACCATATATAAGACACTAACATCCATTTTGAGCGTGAGAATCACTCGTCACCTGGAGCTAAATCAGGTGATGTCACGCGCTCAAAATGGATGTCGGTGCGGTGGTCGTGGAACCAAAGAACCACTCCTTATTGACGCGGTCATTGGCAAAGTGGTGAAACGCAACCGTCGGAATTTCTCCGCCGCCTGGATAGACTACAGAAAGGCATTCGACTCGGTGCCCTATACATGGCTAAAGAGAATCCTCCAGATGTATAAAATTGACTGTACAGTTGGAGACTTCCTCGAGCAGTGTATGTGGCAATGGACTACGATCCTTTGCTATCTGGGCGAGCGGATGATGGCTGCGGAGAACCACATAAGGATAAGAAGGGGTATCTTCCAGGGCGATTGTCTGAGTCCAATCTAGTTTTGCCTTTCTCTGAACCCTCTCAGTACTTTACTAGAGGGCTCCGGGAGGGGATTTAAGCTTCGGAAAGGAGGTACAAAAGTGATCCACCTTTTCCTTGACCTCAAGTTATTCGCCTCCAGTCGCTCCCATCTTGTGGAATTGCTAAACATCACTTGTGAATTTAGCAATTCTATTGCAATGGAGCTGGGAACGGATAAGTGTGCGGTCCTCCATATAGAAAGGGGAAGGTATGCTAACTCTGAGGGCATAGACTTATCTATGCCCGTCAACTTAAGGACCCTTTCCGAGGCTGAAACATACCGATACCTGGGTATGTCACAGAACATCGGTATCGATGAGGCTGGTATGAAACAGTCAGTTTGCGACGTGTTTTATGCACGCTTGACCAAAGTGCTTAACAGCCTTTTGTCCGGTGTGAATAAGACACACGCATATAACGGTTGGGTCATGTCTGTCCTCATGTATACCTTTGGCGTACTCAGGTGGACCCAGACTGAACTTAACGCTCTGGATAGAAAAGTCCGCACTACCATGACGTCCCATAGGATGCATCATCCGAGATCGTCGGTAATGAGGCTGTTAAAGTGTAAGAATAATATGTATGCTCCTTTAGTTTAGTAAGTAAGTACGCTACTTTATAACCGTATGTATGCTGAGTTTGCACTATACCTTATATGCATTATTTTAGATTATTACCAGCGCATTCATTAAATAGTACGTAACTAATGTAGTCGTTTCCTTGAATAACACCCATTAGGAACCCCAACATTACATGGCGACCCTGCCAGGATGACTCTGCCAAGGGGATTGTTAGTTTTAGTATAGTTAACATAACTACTTAATAATATATTATAATGTGTCGGTCAACTGTGGAAAAAGAAGAGGTTTTCCTCAGCCAAAACGCGGCTGGAGGCAACAATGACGCCACGTTGAAAGAAATCGGAGGCCACGTGGAGCGGCTTAGCATTGTGACCTATATTGTTCTGGCCATTACTGGACTCGTAGCAGTTTATGTGGGCCTGCGGATGTACAGGAGCTGTCACCGCACATGGATCCAGCAGGAAATTGGGATGAGTACCATGCAGAGAATCAGATCATCCATCAGAGGGCGCACAGAAGGTAACCAGAATCAGTAATTAGAAGTGAATGCATAGTGAAAGTGAAAATAAGTGTTGTGTATAATCATATTTCATAACGCTATAATTCTAAAGGTGCTAAAACCGCGCGCGGACATTCAGTAATAAGACACCAAACGGAAACAAAAGGCAACGTCGGACTTTTTTCTTCGCATTTATGTAGAATGTGTTACATTTGTGTAATTCTATTATTAGATTAGAATATTATGATTGATATTTTGGAACAAAATTATGTCTGTTTAGTAGAAATACGTAATTATTTAGTAAAAAGAAGGACAAACTAGATATAAGGGTAATGTTATTTCAACTAAGTTAGATCAAGCAAAAAGCGCATATGAAAACTGTTGTAAAATATATTTACTTATTGGAAAAAGTAAAGATATTAATTTGAAATCGGCAATAGATCTTTATCAGAAAATAAAACAAAAGTACGAGGAAATAGAAAAATTGTGTACTTTTCCCGTTACAGTAGATTTAGGCAAAATGGATTTTGACATAAAGGTGGCGTGTAGTTTGATTCCAGTAATGGATGGTGTAGAGGCCACCACTAAGCGCCTAATAGACTCAGTGGAGATGTATGCTGACATGCTGGACAACCCAGGTAAAGTATTATTAATTACTTTTGTTTTGAAAAGTCGGTTGAATGAAAATGCAAAATTACGAATTGCAAGCTCATACAAAACTATCCAAGAATTAATTGATGATATGAGGAAATATCTTTTACCCAAAAAATCATTTATGGCTATACAGACGAAGCTTCAGAATATTCAACAAGGCTCGAGATCCATTGAGGATTATGGTACGGAGGTAGAAAAGTTATTTACAGAGCTGACAATTACTCAGTAGTAGGAAGTATTCTCGATTTTAAAACCAATCAATGAAAGTTTTGCCATAAAACGTTTTTCAGATGGCCTGCGTAGCGCAAAAATGAGCACCATCATCTCAGCATGCGGCTTCAACAGCTTGAAAGATGCCATACAAGCAGCAAAAGACGAGGAGTGCACGTCTTTACAACCACCAGGTAACATTTTGTATGCATCTAAAAATGGACGCCACTCGGCATACAATATTAGACGTTCTCAAGATCAAAGAGGAATTTACCGTAGTCAATATGGTAACAGTTACCATCGTGGGCATAAATTTAATAACCAATACAATCAAGGACAAGGTTCTAGTGGAAATTATAGAGCAAATTATCGTCCTTCATATAATAATCAACGAGGAAATAGAGGCTCTAGATATGTTAGGAACCGTGGACGAGGTCAAAACTCATTTCCAGTAGAAAAAGTAGCTGACACTCATCAATGCGATAAAGACGACAATGCAGGTACATCGAATCAGTTTTTTCGATCCTAAGCATTTTATATTATCATTACAAGGTGATGCGAAATATGTTACTTTTTATATTAAAAACATTAAATACTATTGGCTTATTGATACGGGTGCAACATTGTCAATTATTAAAAATGAAGTACTGCCAAAAAGATATCATTGTTAATAGAGATAATACTATAATAAATGGAATAGGTGGTCAGCGACGATCTCACGGTTCTGTAAATTTAATATTAAAATACGAAAATGCCACGTTTCAGCATAATTTTCTTGTTTTTGATTCGCTACCACTAAAAGCAGACGGAATCATAGGCTTAGACTTTTTAGAAAAATTTAGTGCGAATATTGATTTAGGTTCAAATAATTTAACACTTTTTAACAGTAATAAACAAAATTATCTACATTTTGTTGATGAACATGATAGGATGAAAAATTCTATGATTATCCAGCACGCTCGGAATCAATTCATTTTATTATTGTGAATGAGGATGTAACTGGAGAAGTAGTAGTATGCAGTAAAGAGTTAACGAAGGATGTCTTTATAGCAAACGCAATAACTACAGTTAGTAATAATGATTTCTTATATTTACGCGAACACTATACATGATTAAAACCGCGTAAAAGAACATATAGCTGATGTGAAGCATCAACGTTCCGGGAAGTCTGCAGTTTGTGATCATATCCTAGACGGACCCAACCATTACATCAGATTTGATAGACCACAAATCCTCGCGAAAGAACACCAATTCCTACCAAGGATGATACGTGAGGCTATTGAAATTAAAAAACATCCTAATTTCAATAGAGAAGGAGGCTGGGTACTACCACCTGCTTGGGATCCTATAATCAATAAAATTAAAACTAAACCCAAGCATACCACTGCAAGACCTCAGGACATAGTCAGTTCATTTTTCATAGATCGGACCATAAACAATAATTAAAAAAGCTGAAGGTACTCCGGGTTTAACAATGACATCGGGACGTCAGTCATCTCAGTCCCCCGTGACCATGGGTGCTGGAAAGCGCCCGAAACGTCGGGAATCAAAAATAAAAGTAAATAAAAAGTAAAAATAAACGCGATAAAATCCGTAAAAGTAGTTTTAATCATACAGTTAGTAATAGTAGAATTCCAGTTAAAATACTTAATGTTAGTGACAAGGAAGTAAACTTGCCATCTTTCACACCAGATTTGAAAAGTTTGTATAATTATAATATTTGTCAATTTAATAAGACCAATATTGACGTTACCAGGGTTAAAACTTTGCTATCTGAATTAAATTTAAATTATTTAGACGGAGAAGAGAAACAATCAATTGAATTAATTTGTGCAAAATATTTTGACATTTTTCATTTAGAAGGAGATAAGTTAACGACAACTAATATTTATGAGCAATCTATTGTTTTAAAACAAAACTCTACTCCAGTTTACGTCAAGCCTTATAGGTTACCACAGACACTAAAACCAGAAATAACTAAGCAAGTTGAGAATATGTTAGAAAATGATATAATCGAAGAGTCAAATAGTGAATGGTACAGTCCAATATTATTAGTACCTAAGAAAAGTAGCAAAGGTAATGAGAAAAAATGGCGTTTAGTTGTAGATTACAGAAAATTGAACGAGGTTATTTGTGACGACAAATTTCCTCTACCAAATATTAATGAAATTTTAGATACGCTTACTGGAGCCATTTATTTTACTCATCTTGACCTTCACCA